GCTTTCTTCCCCCCCCCCCCCNCCCCCCCCCCCCTCAAAGACCTCTGTTACTAACACACACCCAGCGGACGCGTCGCCATCGTGACAGGTGCCTCGCGCGGCATCGGCAAAGCCATCGCCCTCCGCATCGCCCGCGATGGCTACGATGTCTGCATCAACGACATCGCCGCCAATCAAGCTGGCTCTGAAGAGGTCGCAAGCGAGATCCGGGGACTGGGCCGCAAATCCGTCGTCGCGTCCGCGGACGTCCGCAGTCTAAGTGAGGTGCAAGGCATGGTCCAGACTGCCGTTAAAGAGCTGGGTCCCCTGAACACAATGTGAGTCCTCCCGCGCTCGCATCATGTTGAGAGCAACATACTGACCACCAATGTACAGGATCGCCAACGCCGGCATCGCCCAAGTCAAACCTCTCCTCGACCTCACCGAAGAAGACTTCCTCAACATGTTCCGCGTCAACGTCTTCGGCGTCCAAAACTGCTACCAGACCGCCGCCAAGCAGCTCATCGCCCAGGGCAACTGCACCCCCTCCTCCCCGGGCAAGCTCATCGGCTGCTCGTCCATCGTCGGCTTCCGCCCGTTCGCGCTGCTCTCGCACTACTCCGCCTCGAAGTGGGCCGTCCGCGGGCTGACGCAGGCGTCGGCGATGGAGTACGCGGAGCACAACATCACGGTGAACGCGTACGCGCCGGGCATCGTGGGCACGGCGATGTGGGACCTGATTGATGAGAAGCTGGGCGAGAAGACGGGCGCGAAGAAGGGGGACACGATTAAGAAGTTTACGAACGATTTGATTGCGCTGAAGAGGACGAGTGTTCCCGAGGACGTGTCCAAGTTTGTGAGCTTTTTGGCGGGGCCGGATAGTGATTATGTGACGGGGCAGACGCAGATTGTGGATGGAGGGATTAACTTCAGCTGAGTGAAAGGGAAGTGTATTCAATGTTGTTTGTATTGCCGTTCCTTTCTGGCAAATGTGGTTATTACTGCAGTCGAAATGTATAGGAGACTCCTTCGACCCCCATTAGATGCTGTACCTAAACTGCCTGTCCTCCTTATCAGTCAGATCGTTCACCGGAGCACCCGCATCATCCAGCACGACATCCTCAGAGTACTCCGCACCCTGGCCACCGCTCGCCGCCGCCTCCCTCTCCGCATTGTCCCTGGAACAGAGCCAGCGGTATGCCACAATGACAGTGAACAGCAAACACCACGTAACAATAGCCGTGACCACGCCCTTGAAGTAGCGCGGCTTCTCCGTCCAAAGCTGCGGCGCGCCGATGCAGCCCGCGCAGTAGCCGATGAAGAACATTGCGTTGACGATGGCGCGCTTCGTGTTGCCCTTGACGTTGGAGGCCGTGAGGGAGAGAAGGATTGACCAGACGGCGGTGATGCAGGATGCCTGGAGCGGTGGCAGGTTAGTCTTGAGACGATGAAAGCGATGGGGAGGGGTGCGACGTACCAGCCAGGAGGCTCCAATCATGCCCCAGCCAGCGTCGGTGGAGAGCTTCAGGAGGAGGATGTTGCCGGCCAACGGGGGCAGGATGAGCACGAGGGCCACGAGGGTGCGGTGCTTGGGGAACATCATGCAGCCGCAGACTCCGAGCCATAGCATACCGATCTGGACGGCGCCGGAGGGAGCGGTGTAGAGCATGGTTTCGTATTTGTTGTAGCCGATGGTGTTGATGACCAGGGACGCAAACTAATCACATGTAAATCAGCAAAGGACAAACACAAACAGTAACATTAGGGAGAATCCTTACCGTCAAAACAGGAGACTGCATGGTCACAAGAACACCAAACCAGAATACAAACCACGTCTTGATATCCAACATCGCCTCTTTCAGCTGTCTCAGCGAGAACGACGTTTTATCGCCGCCCTCGCGGTCCTTAGCCATGCGCATGGAAAGCACCTGCTTCTGGCGCGGGGTGAGGAACCACGCGTCCTTCGGGCCATTGGGCATGAAGAGGTAGAAAACCACTCCCGAGGCGGAGGTGATGGCGCCGCAGACCAGGAAGAGTGTGCGCCACGGCGCGAGGGAGAGGGCCGTGTTCTTGGCAATGCCGTACATTAAGAGGCAGCCGCAGATCTGGGCGAGGCCGTTCATGGTGATCCAGAGACTGCGCAGAGCCAGGTCAGCTTTTAAGGGGTATGCTGGAGGTGAGATGGGGGTTGGGCTTACGCGGTTCGAAGGGCGTGCTCGTCCTTGCGGTACCAGATGCTGGTGATGGTGATGAAGGCGGGCGAGACGGCGCCCTCTGCGAAGCCGAGGAGGAAACGGACGGCGGCGAAGCCGGAGTAGTTGTGCGGTGCGGCGAGACACATGCAGACGATACCCCAAATGACTCTTAATCCGGCTTTTTGTCAGTAATGGGTATGTTGGCAGACCACGCGAGGAGACTTACACCGTGACTCCCACGAACTTTGTGAGATGCAGCCTGCTCATGAGATAGATGAATGGGTATTCAGACACAAGCTGGCCTGCGCGTCAAACAGTCAGCAATGGCATCCTCCCGTATGAATCATGGTCCGATTTCTTACCGACGTAGAAGATGGACGAGCACCAAGAGTACTGTGTGCTAGTCATTTTCAAGTCCGTGATGAGGCCGAAGACCTAGGTACATTAATTAGTTGCGGGGATCAGCACGGCGAAGACTAGCCAACTTACGCTTGCATAACTGAGACTCTGCTTGTCCAGGTACTGCAGGAAGAAGACCACACACATCTGTCGATCCAGGTTAGCTCAATTGTTCACAGGTACAAGACACAATACAAGGGTTAACAAACCATGGGCAAGATAGTGCAGTCAATCTTTCTCAAAACCGCTCTCTCCTCTTCCTCTGTATAAGACTCGCTCAGCTCCAAAATCTGGCCATTCTTCTCCTCAGCACCCTCCGGCTGCGGTCCATCATTCGTCTTGGTCTCAATGGAAGAAGTCATCCTGAGTCGCGTGAGGGGGTGTGGTTCTCATTGGAAGATCCAAAGACAGCGGCCAACACCCCGTCACAAACTGCAGATCCGCCCGCCCTTTAAAGAAGAAACGAGGGAGGGAGAGAGAAAAAAAACGTGGTTGACAATCTCCACCGGTGCATATCTCGAATCCCGGGGTAAGTGTGCCCATTATTTCCCCGCACCCAAGAGCAAGCATTATCAGAGAGTCATATCAATCAAAGACTGATTCCTGCGATACCTCTGCTAGCGTTGATAGGGGTGATACGCGGGGTGGGGCGGGCCATGTTGCCGATGGTTGCGGCAGATATCCGACGCCGGGTATCGGCAACTTGGTCGCTCGCAAAGACCATGTTCCCGATGATAGGATTGTGTATTGATCTCCGATGCGTTGTTGTTGCATTGTCTCTCTCACCAAAACTGAGTGTTGTTGGGGGATGACGTTAACCGTCTGGATGAAGCCAATCAGATAAATATTTCTGTTTTCTAGAAGTTGTAGCTGTGTGTTCGGATGACTGAGCGTTTGCAACATTCCGTTCACGTTTCTTCCCCTCATTCTACGTCTTCGAGACTCACTCTTCTGAACCAACACCATCCAGAGAATAATCACAGAAAACCTTCATTCACAATGGTCAGCGAAGCCGACCTCAAGCCCTGGCTCAAAGCCCCAACACGGCGCTACATCCTCACAAACGCCACCATCGTCGACGTCACCGACGGCTCCCTCCACCCCAACACCGCCGTCCGCCTCAAAGACGGCCTCATCGACGCCATCCTCCCCTCCGACCCCTCCACCGTCTCCGCCGCCGTCGCCGATGGCTTCGCCGAAGTCGACTGCGCCGGCAAGTTCCTCTGCCCGGGCCTCATCGACTCCCACGTCCACGTCATGGCCGTCCCCGGCTTCGACTCCCTCGCCGCCGCCTTCAGCAACCCCAACGACGTCTCGCTGCTCCGCCAGCCGTACGTCTGCGCGCAGATGCTGCACCGCGGCTTCACCAGCATCCGCGACTGCGGCGGCGCCCTGCTCGCCCTGAAAGAGGCCATCAACGACGGCGTGTTCCCCGGACCGAGGCTGTTCATCGCGGGCCATGCGCTGTCTCAAGCCGGCGGGCATGGAGATGTTCGCCGCGGACCGCATGACCACAGCGAGTGCTGCGGCGGGTCGACGACCGGCTTGGGGCGGCTGTGCAACGGCGTGCCGGAGTGCATGACCGCGGTGAGGGAGGAGATCCGCACGGGCGCGGACTTTATCAAGATCATGGGCTCCGGCGGCGTGTCGTCCCCGACGGACAAGATCGACCACCTGCAGTTCACCGGGGCGGAGATCCGCGCGATGGTGGAGTGCGCGGCGAACGCGGGGACGTACGTCACCGCGCACGCGTACACGACGAAGGCGATCCGGCACTGCATCGATAACGGGGTGCGCGGGATCGAGCACGGCAACTTCGTGGATGTGCCGACGGCGAAGCTGATGGCAGAGAAGGGCGTGTACCTCACCCCGACGCTGATCACATACGCGCAGATGGCGTCGGAGAAGTGGAAGGGCTACCTGCCGCCCGAGTCGCGGGTCAAGAACGAGGAGGTGCTCACGGCAGGCTTGGTGGCGCTGAAGACGGCGTACGAGGCGGGCGTGACGATATGCTTCGGGACGGATCTGCTGGGCCCGTTGGGCGCGGCGCAGAGTTTCGAGTTCTCGTTGAGGGGGAAGGCGATCCCGTCGCTAGCGGTGCTGCAGAGCGCGACCATCAACCCGGCGAGGATGTTTGGCAGGGAGGCGTCGCTGGGGCAGGTCAAGGCTGGGTTTGAGGCGGACATTATCATTGCGAACGCGAATCCGTTGGAGGACGTGGGCATCTTTGATGATCCGGAGGCGTCGGTTGCGGCGGTGATTAAGGAGGGCAGGGTGTATAAGAGCAGATGGGACGGGATTAAGGAGGACTCGGCGGTGCCGATTAGAATTAAGCCGGCGCTTTGATATAATGTTTATGGACGGTGTGCAGAATGCGGTAACAAAGAAATGAGACAATGGTTTTGATATTATTGGTTTCTGTTGTAGCTACTCCAGGCCCCCCGTGAAGTCGAGAACGTCCATCCCCGTCAACCCCATCAGATACATCTGGTCGTCGCTCCACGGAAACGAAGCCAGCCAGCCTTCATCCGCAGCCGGCAATTCCATCAGTTCCGGGTTATGAACACCGTTGAGGGGCAGCTCAAACCCCGAAGCCGATAACTCCTGAAGCTGCAGCGCCGCCGCCTCGTCCCACGTCTCCGACAACTCGACATCCGGTACTGACGCCCCTCCATCATCAACATCCGCCGGCTGCTCCCCAGACCCCTCCTCATCCTCCTCATCTTCCGAGGAACTCTCCGCAACCTCAGCAGTAGCCAACCACTCCGCCCAGTCCCCATATCCCGTCGTCCTCCCCTCCACGCTCGGCGCCGTCTCCGTCCGCTGCACACGCAACAACCTCCCCCTCGCCTCGTCCGTAATCCCCCTCAACGCCTCCACAAACCTGACCCCCATCCCCGCCGTCGCGTTCCCCCCGCCCGCCATCCTCCGCAAGCAATCCAGCCCAAACGCCACCCGCCCGTCATACCCCGCGTCGCGCTGCAGTATCCCCGCCAGCAGCACCACGATCGTCGCGATGCTGCAGCCCTGCAGGTCCGTGAACGAGAACCGCGCCATGTTGCCGCTGCGGCTCAGCCCCTCGAACAGCTCCAGCATCTTCTTCGCCGCGCGGATGCAGGCGTCGGCGGCCTGCTCGACGGCCGCGCTGGGGGCGGGCGGCGGGTCCGAGGGGCAGAAGAGCGCGCGCAGGCGGGCGCGCACGACGGTTACCACGGAGACTTTCCCCATGTCGATCCAGGCGAAGTAGTAGTTGAGGTGCAGGTGGAAGACGGCGCGGTAGCCGGGGGATTTCGGGTAGATGTTTTGGAGTTTGAGGGGCGGTGGGAGGGAGCGTTTCCAGGACTTGAGGGCTTCTTCGTAGGTTGATACGGGGTTTGTGGGTGAGTTTGTTGACCAGGCGCTGGACTCATTGTCAGTTGATGTGAATCCAGACAAAAGAAGGGGGGCTTACGCTGGCTCAGATAGCTTGTCGATAATGCGCACAAGCTGCGCATACACAATTTGATGCTGCACATTATCAAACTTCTGCTCCGCGTCGCGAGGGACCGGACGAGGGAGGCGGGCCGTGATGATATCCTGGCTGATCGACCTCGGCCTGTTCAACTTAATCGTCACAGTCCTCTCCAACGAATAAACAGACCACCACAGCCTCCGTCTCATCTCCTTCTCATCCTCGCTCAGCCCAGGCTCATCCGGCTCCAGATGCAGCCCAATCGCCAGCGCCTTCCGCAACGCCAGCCCCATGTACACATACGACGCACTAATCGCGCTCGCCGGCATCAGGTACACGCCCAGCACATACGCCGCCTGTACCGACCGCAAACACGGCCGGTCAATCAGATCGGCCATCAAAATCCTCGCCTGGTCGTAGAATATCCTACCCGGGTCCTCCTCCTTCCCCACCAGCCTCTCATCCTCCTCCGTCGGGCGCGCCAGACTCGTCCAATGGCTGCCGAGTGCAAACACCGCGAGCACAAAACACACGAAGCCCGTGTCACTCCGTAACCTGCAACCTTCATCGCTGTAGAACGCGCCCAGCTCGGCGGTCAGCTGCGCCTGGTCAAAGTAGAAGAACAGGTCCGTCCCGTAGGTGATGCACACCTCGAGCAGGAACTCAGCGACGCCGCGCGGGGGGAAGTCGCGGACGGCCTTGCGCACGCGGCGCAGCTCAGCGGGGGATTGGGAGTCTGCGGGCGGAGGCGGGCGGGCTTGGGGGTGAGAGGTGTCGGGGGAAGCGGGCGCGGGGTGGGTGTCCAGGCAGAAGGCGGAGCGGAGGCGGGTGAGAAAGCGCGGCCACATGAAGGCTTCGCTTGGGGGCGCGCCGGCGGTGGGGGAGAAGTCGACGTCGTCTTTGAGGTCCGTCGTTGTCTCAGCATGCGCTGCGACGTTGTTCGTGTGAGTGTCATCGCCAGTTGTCGGTACGACGACGTCCTCGGGACTGCGCTCCCGTTCGAAGCGGCACGGATGCGAACCCTGCAGACAACGGACACACGTGCCGGAGGGCGTCTCAACGCACTTGTTCTTGCGGGCCTTGCAGCGGTCGCAGGCGCGCGGGGCGCGTTTGCGGTCTGCGTCGGGGACTCTACGCCGGCGCCGGCGGCGGAGGGCGGCTGCGGCGGCGGGGTCCATGGGCGGGTGGATTGAGTACATGTGTCAGAAAGAAAGGCATGGTGATGAGAGGCGTGCGTGGCGCGGTGCTGCTGCTCAAGTCAGCTTCCGCGGAGCATGGTGTGTCGTTTGGGAGGATGAGTGAGGTGGGTGTGTAAAGTGGTGGTCATTATCTTTTTATCTCCGCATTTGGGTCCGATTTGGACGCGGAAGGATGTTGATAAGGAGGTGGCAGGGATCCGGGGTTGATGGCAGCCTTCTATTGAACGGAGGATCTTAAGCAAAGACCTGGAGTTTGTTGATTCTATTTCGATATGTATAGCCTGAAGAACAAATGATAGAAGTAATTCCTGACAGCTGTCAAATAAATACCACAACAATACCTGGAAAATCAAACTTCACACTCGCATCTGTGCCGATGCCGGCTTGGACCCTGGATTGCGGGGTGCAGCAACCGGCATCTCCCCGCGTCTCGGCCCACACCACCCGACTCGCCCTGGCCTCAACTCGTCTATGGACTTGGAGATCTCCCCGTAAGCTCCTGTTCCTCTCCAAAGTCCTTCAACGGGACTCTCCCTGTCTTCTTTCTGAAGGCTTCCTTGATAGTGGCGACCAGCCCCGGCATCTCAGCCCCAGGCCCATCCATGATCGCCCCGGGATGCACGACATTGAACACAGCAATAGCCAACACCATCGGCACCGCCTCCAGCCCGTAGAAGTACCCCTCGCGAGTAATCAGCTGATTATCCATCCCATGACCCGACGAAAACTCGACGAGCCGGTATACGATGCGCACCGTAATACTCCCCGGTGAAAAGTACAGCGCCCACACTAGCGGCCTCCACCCCTGCTTCTGTCGTCCATCAAGCTTCTCCGCCCGTCGCATGTTCCGCTGGAAAACGTACGCCAACCCCACAAAAGCGAGGATGAAGACCTCCTGGAGGCCGATGCCGCCCATGTAGATGTGTATCGCGCGCATTTGTTCCTCGGGCGGGGCGGTCGGGCCGGCCATGCTGCCGCCGACGAGCTGGATGATGAAGGAGACAACGTCAAGGGCGACGAAGAGGGCGGCGAAGAAGGTAGCGGGGAGGCGTAGGAGGGAGCGCGAGGGGTGGAAGAAGTGGATCATCCGGCCGAGGGTCATGTATGCGAAGGCGTTGACCCCTGGTGTCTGTTAGTGCTGGACGACAGCATGGAGGGAGGTGACTTACACAGTGGCGCGAGTAGTATAAAGATTTGGAAGACGAGGTAGATGCCGTTATTCTGCTGGTACCGTGTGCTTATGGAGCGGAACATGAACGCGAGGGTTTCCCAGATGCTCGCCATGATAATGACCCAGCACCATCTCTGTGCTGGTGTAAGCCAAAGAAACAAGGATCCGAGAGAAGGTAGACTGACGCACCTTCTTGTACCTGGCCGCTTGCCAAACATGAACGGCAGTCAAGACGCCGAACACCACGGCAAAAGCGATAGCCGCCGCGAAGCTTGGGTAGTAGTTCCAGAGAGCGCCGCAACTCCCCGGGGGCACGTAACCATTGGCGTCCGGCTCGATGGTCTGGACGCAGGTCGGGAGGGCGAGGGCGATGGTCTTGGCGGGTACTGTGACGTGGCTGTTTGTGACGCCGGGGATGGTGATGAACTCGGTGGCGATGAAGTTGCCTGTGGGCACCGCAGAAATAGTCGAAGAGGTGATTACTGATCGTTGAAGTAGTTGGGTGTTCGTCGGCGTGGGCGAGGGACCGGATGGCAGAGCTGCGGCTGCGGCGGTTAGGCCCAGGATGATCCACGTGAGGGACATGGCGATTGGAGTCAAAGATGAGATGGCAGGAAATCCTGAAAGTGATGGTTGTCTCTCCCATCGTCGACATCTTCGAGGCTCGTCTGCTCATATTTAAAGAAACTTGTTCAGATCGAAGTCGAAGATATTGTCAAGAATGCCTGGCGATGCACAGCCACTTCAATCGCGTTCTTTACATAAAATAGCGAGCCGACCAATCGCAGCTCACGGCACTAGATGTTGATAATGATACCGCCCGCGGGAAGGATTCGCAGGGATGGCGTAAGCACTCGTGCGGGTTGAGGCACAGACATGAACATGTCGCGGAAGACGCCAAAAACAAGGGTGCGACTGTAAATAGTTATTTCAGGGCTTGCGCCTCGTTGGAACCTCAAACCACTCCTCCCGTATCGTGATGGGCCCGTCGAGCTCCCTCATCAAGAGGGCGACCTTCTTCCAGACCGTCACGCTGCCATCGCTCCCGGGCACGATACGCGCCTCCTTCTGCATCGCCGAGTCCTTGATCCGCATACCTTCGGGCGGGAGCGTGCCGTCATCGACGATGTCCTCCAGTTCATCGTCGCAGCGCAAATGCACATCGTTCTCGACCTTCAAGAGCACTCTCCCGAGCGATAAGAGGGTGCTGTTGTCCCATAAACTCTCCCGCTCATGCGATATCGTCCTCACCAGCTTCAGCGCGGCGACTCGCAGGCGCAGTGACCTGCACTTGACGACTACGAACCCCAGCAGCGGCGCGAAGCCCATCTCAAAGGTGAACTTTGCGCGCGGGTGCTTCTCGTGCGACGAGCGGAGGAGGATGTCCGTCTCGCGCGCAATGTCAATGATGCTCTGGAACTTATCGAGGTGGAGGTCGAATATCGTTTCGCCACGCGACAAACACGTGTCGATCCAGATCTTGCCAACGATCCATTTCATTTCGAGCAGCTGTATGATGAGAACATCCCGTTGGGATATGCAGTCTGCGTTCAAGGCGGCCTTCTCGCCCCGGTAGAGACGGAACGCGGCGCCCCAGCTGTCCAGCGCCTCGTCAATCTCCTTACGGTCCTGCATGACCAACGGCCCCGGCTTGGGACTTGATTCATCTCCCAGTCGGTACTCGTCGGCGGTCCTCACGAAGCGGATGGTACGAACAAGTAGAGGGTCCAGCGCGGCCTGGGCCTCGGCGAGCGTCTTGTACGGCGCGTGCGGGGCAGGCTTCCCAATCTCCATTGCCGGGAACGTCTCGGGCCGGACGCCGAAGAAGAATGGAAACACGCCGAGACGGCAGAAGGCGGGTTCTAGGTGGTCACGGATGAACTTGGACTTGGAGCGGGACGCATTCAGGATGTTGATGCCGTGCCGGCAGTGTTCGATGGCGCCCTTGCATTCTCCACGCAGCATGTCGACGCAGACGAAAAGCAGACAGACAAACAGCACCGTTTCCGGGTTGTCCGTCGTCCTCAGGTGCCGGATGGCCTCGTTGTAGTTGGACACGGCAAAGAGATTTTTCTCGCCGGCGAGGCGGTCCATGGGGTTCTCATTGAACTTTTCATACAGCGAGCTGATTGTCAAGACGGCGTACTTTGCAGCCTGCTCCTGGTGAGACAGCTGAGTGGCGAGATGGGTCCAGAAGTAGTTGTCCAGCGGCCCGGCAAGGACTGGTGCCACGACGCCGCGGAAGAAGCTCAAGGCGCGGAGCTCTGACTCAGAGGCGTTCTGGGTCGGCGGTGGGCAGACACGGAGCAGCTGGGCCCACGAGTAGGTGCCGTTGGGAGGGGCGACGTAGCCATCACACTTCCTGCCGGTGCTGACGCAGCGGTTACACGCCGGGCGGGCCTCATCGCACTTGACTCTGCGGATCCTGAGGTTTTATTAGCACTCTGGCCAGGCCTGTGGGAATGAACAGTCAAAGGACCCCCTTACTTGCAGGTGATACATCCCGTCTTCACCTTTGATAACCCATGCCTCGCCATTGAGAGGAGGAGAGCAAGTACCCTTGGATAACAACAGGGAGGTGCGAGTGCTGTGCTACCCTGTGCGAGGGACAGTGTCCAGTATGTGAAAGGTTGTTGTATGAGAACAGGTAAGGTAGGTGAGGGAGGCCGAGGTACGCAACGCCCTGAGAGACGTAGACGCCGACGCCGGTGGTTTGGTCAAGATCCGAGGCGACCTATCGAGAGACAGATATTTGGCAGCAGGCTTTGCAGGCTCCAGGGAATGGGCCTCATAAGTAGTGCGCCAACGACATGATGGGCGGACGGACTTCAACTCGACCCAATGTCGATAACAATTGTAGGTGCGTAAGTGTAGATGAAGAGAGGTTAGTGTAGGCGGGCAGAATGTTTCAGGAGGTGAGGAGGCGCAGAGTCAAGATCCCAATCGCCAGTGGCCGCTAACAAGAAAAGCAGGAGCAGTCGCCGGTCACTGACGATAAGCCCCAAATGCCCCTTCCTCCCCAAGCTGCCAGGGGAAGACTAGCAGGAACCCCGCTCCAGGGCGGGGCATTCGCGAGCAGGCCAATCGGATGATTCGGGGGGAGAGGCTACTTCGCCTAGCGTGCCTTAGTGGAGATTAAGCGAGGACTAGCGCGTATTATGTAAGACTACATTTTCCTTTGCTGGGTTCTGCTTCCCTTCAGTGCCATCTCAAGATTCTTAACCTCCACGACACCTTCACGATACCCTCACCACCTTCACTTTCGTCCCATCACACCTATCACGAACTCTAATGCCCCTCACGCAAATGACAGCCTGCGATATACGAGCAGATGCGGGCCCATGACATCTGTCGTGGAAGCTTCCCGCTGTCTGGACACGAGCTTATCTCCGAAACACCCTCCGGTGGTACAGACTTGTCAACTGTCGCGAACGACCATCTCGACAGCCAAGGGGACCCCAACTGTCCCGCAAGAGACACGACGCGCGCGCGACAGTCGTGGTTGCGGTCTACGAGAAACTCAAAACCCGGTCAGGAGTTCGGACCTCCGTACCAAGCCTGCGGGTGCCACGTTGTCGCCGGCCGCCGGCCCAACTGCTGCTGCGGGTTCTAGACTGAGTCCACCGCTCATGTTCGGGCAGAGTTGCCGCCGCATCACGCGGACGACTTCGGGATTACGCTATCCATCAGATTAGGGAGTCAATCTCGCGGAGGTCCCGATTGAGTAACTATAGATCGTCCGGTATTGCCCGTCCGCCAACGTCAAAGTCGGCGCATACAGCCACACGCTGAAAGCTTGTATCCACTCCGCCGGTGTCAATCAACAGAAAAAGGGCATGTTGCTGCGGCCGAATGCCACCTGGGAATCGACGCCTGTCCAGTACTTCTCGGGCATTGGCTACTTATTCAGTTTTGCTGCTCCAATGCGTCGACAAGATACGGACGATTGCAAGTCCTTGCCTCTTTCAGCAGAAGTGGCAGACATCGGGGGCCCGCGGCCCCGGTCTCCAGGCCTCGGCCCCGGTCTCCAGGCCTCGGCCCCGGTCTCCAGGCCTCGGCCCCGGTCTCCAGGCCTCGGCCCCGGTCTCCAGGCCTCGGCCCCGTCCCGAGGCCCATGTTGACGTCCACCTACGTCCACCCAAACTCTTTCTCGACCACATTTCACCTCCCCGCGTTTCGCAGTCGCACATGGATCGGCATACCTTCCTTAGCCTTTGCCGTACCAGTGCCGTTCTGATAGCACCGATGACCTTCCATCACCTGCTTGGGGCCAGTGTAGTTCCTGCACACACAGTCTGTCAGCCATCACTCCTACCAGCGCCCTGGAGATGCTTGAAAACTTACCTCGCGGCATCCCACTCGTCCCAAGCACAGTCAATGTCAAACTCCCTCGCCAAGAACGCGACAGCCATTCTGACCTCCGTATTGGCGAGCTCCAGCCCAATACAGACACGAGGACCGTTTCCGAACCCCCGCCAGGCGCCTTTCGTGGGGTACAGCGGATCGTCCGGGTTCGTGGTCAACCAGCGCTCCGGGATGACCTCCTCGGCACGAGGCCACACCTTTTCCTCGCGAGACGTCGAGCGAATGCCGTCCCAGAGGTCAAAGTGCTCAGTCGGCAGCGCCATGCCGGTTTCCTTGTCCTTGATCTGGTAATCAGGGCTGCCTTTTCTAAGGGGCGGGATGACGGGATACAGCCTCATCGTCTCCTTGATCACGCCAGCCGTGTACGGCAGCGAGTTCAGGAGATGCGGCGATTCCATTAGTCTTTCCTTCAACTTTGAAGGATCCTGACCAAAAACTTCGTCATGCTCAGCTCGCACCTTGTCGAGGATCGCTGGGTGCTTAGCCAAGACGTGTATCGTCCAGCAGATCACTGTCGCCGTCGTATCATGGCCTGCAAACATGAAGATCTTAAGCTGTGCCATGACACTTTCGATGAAGCCCTCATCAGGCGGGAGCGCCTTCTCGGCAATCAAGCCCTTGAGAGGCTTCATCGCCTGATCCACCAGTGTCTTTGATTCTCCGTCGCCCTTGCGCTCGAGACATCTCATGATGGGTTGGTAAAGCTCGTCACGCAGCGCAACCTTGTTCCTGGCAATCCTCCACTGACGGACGGGGTCAACGCTCCAGATCTTGTCGATAATGCTGAACCGCAGGCGGCACTGCGCAATTTGGTCCATCAGTGCGACCTTCAACTTGCTCGGGCCATCAGTCTGCTCGTGAAGCTCGATCCCCAGCGCCGCGCGCCCGATCACGTCCATCGTCAAATTCGTCGCCAGGTCCTCCAGCGTAAACACCTCGCCCCATTTCCCGTCCTTTCCAGCATTTTTCCGAAAGATGCCCGCAAACGTCTCGACATCCTTGATGATCCCCGGGACGAGCGAGACGATGTTCTTCGGGCTGAAGGCCGGGTTGAATCGCGCGCGCCAGACCTTCCACTCGGCGCCCTCCAGGCTCGCAATATCCAGATTCTCCGTCAGCGGCTTGACAAACTCCTTGTGCGCCCGCGGGAGATCTGCGCTGCCGGTCTGCCAAGCGACCTCCGGCTCGATGGTGAAGCACATGGGCGGGCCCATGGGCCAGAGGTCGACGTAGATGATGGGCGGGCAGGTTCTGCGGCCGGGGAAGAGGGCCTGCCAGTTCTGGTAGATGAGCTGGGAGAAGTAGTTTGTGTGGATGTCCTGGGCAGGCCGGATGTGATTTTTGTGATGACGGGTATATGTCCGAAGAGTAGGGAATAGGGCATCATTGGCTGTGAGGTCGTCAGTGCTGTTCCCGGTAAGCGAATTTGGGGTGGCTCAACTTACTACACCCTGTCTCTTCAGTCTCCAGAATAGGAGCCGTACTTGCACGAGTTGCACCAAAGTGTAGCCGACACTGAAAGCTACGAGCAGCAGAAGGGCGCGAAGCCCAATCTCCGCGGGACTCCCGCCCACGGACAGGTTGATTATTGCCATGTTTCGCGGGTGTCGTCAAACGCGACAGTTACGGCAGCGATGGAGTGCGCCGCTCAGCAAGTCCTCCCGAGGGAGCTCGTTTCCTTTATTCTTCCTCCCGCCAAGGGACCTGGCAAGGGTGGCTCTAATAAGCAGACTGCCATTGGCCTCCTGCACCGTGAACCTCCCCGCCGCGTGTGCGGCATGTTGTCCGGAGATGGAGACGGCAAGAGGCAATGATTGACGTGTGCGCAGCGGGACTCGCAGAGGGGTTGCATAAAAGATGACCCATCCGCAGTGGGATCACGCTGGACATGTTGGCAGGTTCTCTGAAACCCCGACTGATGGTGAGTGAGAACGTGATGCATGAGTGTGTTTCTGGCTTTTAATACTATGCTCTTCGTCTTACGAGGAAGAAGTGCGCGATGTGCAGCGCCGACTTTGGGGGATTCAAAGATACGAAGGATGCCATCGCGAGCCGAGGAATAATGCAACGCGGTGGGGTCCAATTCGGGGGTCAGGACATGGTAGCCGGCATGCGTTTAAACTATTAGGGAATGTAGGTCGGCGGCACAACTAGGGGAAAGCATCCGGACGGACGTTCCCGCATTAATCACTGAGTTTGCGTGTGGTTATTGGCTGGACGTGATGTCTCTTCCGAAGCAAACCAACACAGGGTCACATCGCCTATCTAGGGTGTGGGCCGCCACGTCTTCAACACAATGTCAACACAAGGAGATGAAGCTTTTGGACTTTGAGGTTACACGATTGCAGATCGGCTTCGCGATGTCAGAATGAATATCGGCAAAGGTAATTTTGAGGAGTCGTGCTGCCTTGGACAGTTTCGACGTAGGGAGTTTGACATCTTGAGAAGCTCACGAAAAGATATCAAAATAACCTCATCCGCCAAACAGCTTCCATCGAGACCGAGATAGAAAGATCGATCGTTTATCATTCCATCTGCTGGAAGGCTTGCGCCAGGAAGTCAGCTACTGTTGACCATTTGGGTAAGCAATCACTCAGATCGATCTAGTACCTATATTCAAGGTCTTTCAAATCAGTTAATTTTGCGAGAGAAACACAGGCAATGTTGTTTTTGTACCGATATTTTGCAGTAGCTGGTGCAATGATCAATTCGTCTGCTGCTATTGCAACATTGTCATGCGATAAGATCATTCAATGATGCCTGGATTCGGTGCGAGGAAGGAAAGGGTTTCCAACGCATCAAGAACCCAAAGGTTCTGTCGCGTAGCGTGGATCGGTTTTGGAGAATAGCCTGCAACGCGTAGAACATGAGATTCTTGGTATCTCCTCTGCTCGACGCGAATTCTTGAAAAATTCCTCTCTCCAAGGTTCGGCTGATGTTGAGTGGAATCAGAGGAACAGGTCGGGCCGCGTGTAGGCGGATACGAACGTCCGCTCCGGAGGCTCACTTCCGCCGCCGTCTTGGCATGTTTCTAGAAATCACTTTTTCGAACGGAATTCTTGAATCTCGTGGGCTCTCGGTCTACATATCGTGGTATTGTCTGTGGCCAACAAACACCTAGACGTATGTTCATGCCGTACGCAATTCTCATCGACCGAGCCCGTCAAAATCGAGGCAGTTCAATGATTAAGGTCGGCGATAGAAAGAGAAAAAGACCCATTTTGGACGGCAAGGAAGACAAAGGTCGGCAGCCGACGTAGAGTGACGCCGAAGATTGTGTCATCTGGTCGTCCGTGAACAGGCGCAGACGGGTCCCGAGCGTCCTCACGCCCCCCACGACGCCTAACAAACGTCTGATGTCGCCGAGAGAAGGCAGCCATTCTCAAGAAACAAACCATTCCAAATGCTGCGCGCGATCGAAGATGAAAGGAACAAAAATCAAGGTGATGATCCAAACGGCGATGCATCGCCGTTGGAAAGACGCAAGTGCTCGGTCAGCTCGCTATGATCTGAACAGCCCCCAAATTCCCCATGTGGCCAAACACCGCGTAAACCGCACAGCCCGCCGCTGCGGCTCAAAGCTGACAGACTTCCACCGTCCGAGCGACGGGAGGAACTACTCATCTCATGACGTGCGAAGGCCACTCCCACCTCGGGGACGCGGTGTGACACGAACGGCTTGACGGGACGGGGTGGCGCGCGATTGGGTGCGGCGGTGGTGCCCCGGAGGTCGGACACGCAACCTGGAGTGGGTGATTGGCCGTGGAAGAAAGTAAGGAAAGGCAACAGAGTTCGCGAGAGAAATCTCTCGCTCGTCATGGAACTATTCTCGGTTTGGCCGTGTAAGCGTCCGAGATGTCAAGGTTTACCGCCCACGCGCCTCGTGCATTGGCATTTCTGTCAAACCTAGTCGACGGTATTACGCGGACCGCTGATGAGATGCCCAATCGGCGAGGCGCTGCACTGTGTTTGTTGCTGAGAAAAGATCATGGCTATGTTGACTTTGACGTCAGGGGGAATAAGCTGTGAAGACTTTCTTCGTAAGGCCTCTCTTGGCTCGGTTGTCAGGTCAGATATATAATCCTGCCGTCACACCCGACTTACCAACATACTTCCAGCTCATCATCACCACACTCAGACAGCAGTCAAGAAGCTTTCATCGCAAATCTCTCACCATTCAAACCATCAACAACACCTCTATTTTATAAAAACCACCCCAACTTTCAAAATGAAGACTTCCATCCTCGCCATCCTCGCCGTCGCCGCCGGCCTCGCTGTCGCCGACGATATCAAGCTCCCCGACTGCGCCAACGGCTGCCTCAACGATGGCCTCCAAAAGGCTGGCTGCACACGAGACAACATCAAGGACTGCTACTGCCAGAAGGCCGACGTGAACTCCCTCGTCACTTGCGTCAGCAACAACTGCAAGAGCCAAAACGACCTGCTCGCGGCCGCACAGTCCGCCGGCCAGATCTGCCCGAACGGCGTCGGCAACAACGGCCAGTTCGGCAACATCCCAGGCTTCCCCGGGAACAACAACAACAACAACAACGGCGGTGGCGGCCAGGGAGGTGGCCAGGGAGGCGGCAACAACAACGGCGGTAACAAGGGCGGCAACTAAAAATCTCGCATGGCATTGGCCTGTTTTTGCGCGGGAATCATAGAACCGCATATGAGTTTGTTGCTTCGCTGAGCCCATTGTTTCGATTCATGTATTAGCTAGTTGACGGCACTGTTCTTCTTTGCATTTGCTTTTCTTTTTTCTTGGGTCGAGTTTTGACTTTTTAGAGATCTTTTCAATCTTAGCTCATCATCTGAACCATATTGCAGTTGCTGAGTGATGTTGTGAAGGTGCAGACCCTATTGGACACATTTGTAAAACTGTCATCCATGTTCCATCCTTTTGATACAGCATACACAAATGGGTTGCGTGCACTGTTCAGAAATCTAGACTCTGAGAGGAATAGCAATCTTTTAAAGGCGGGCTGTATTACGCGGCCACAGGCGGGAAAATAAAGATCAAGTTCATTTCTTATGCTGGCATGTGAGGCAGGGGATTTAGTAACTAATTACGAGAGGAAGCTACGTAGAGGCGGTGGCTCGCAGCAACACAGCACCACCAGAATCCCAAATAATAAAACCAGACCACGGGTTAGGGACTTGAGAATGGAATTTATCATCAACATCATCAAAAAGCAAAAGAAATGGGCCCTAACCAGGGATCGAACCTGGGACCTCTCCCAAGTTGAGATGTCGGAGACAACCCTAAGGGAGAATCATACCGCTAGACCATCAGGGCGTGTGTTCTCAAGAGGAACTCTTGTTAGGGCATGGATCAGAATTTGCTAGTCAAGTTCGCTAGCACAATTGCGCCAGGTTTCAATGTTCCGCGCTCGCTCGGGGAGCTGCTGCCGGTTCTTCTAGTCGTGTTTTATAGCGTTCCAAAGTAGTAAAACACGAATAAGATGAGTCGCCTTCTCTATTTAGAGTTCGATCGTTCGCGTCAGCAGAAGACGGATGGTGATGATTTGTTGTTTGTAAAGAGGAGAATGTCGCAGCTGGGGGCGAGCTGGGTCTTTGTAGCGGTGTTCCACGTCTAGCGTTAGGCGCCGCCTGAAGCGGTCTGGCGGGGCGGTCGAAGCAGCTGAACCGCTCTTCGGTCTGGTAGGTACCCCTGAAGCAAGAACCCAACTCAAGCGCCCGTATGCAGGAGGAATGCACATGGCACTTGATGAGTCCAGAACCTGACGCAAACCATTCTTGGAAAACCGTGTTTTATCTGGAGTGTTTTCTTCCATTGAACAGTGCTGTGTCAAGTTGACATGTTTTCTGCTCCCCCGCCTCCGCTTTGCCAGCACTGCGGCAAGGTACCCCTCACTGACGACGATCTTCGCTCAGTCATCTCTTCTGAGGGCGCAATCCCTTTCTTCCTGCTCGGCTCATGGTCCCATATCAGCACCAGCCCCTGTCCCCTCTGCCAACTCGTGGCACATGCCATCTTCGAGGCTCACCGGCTCTCGCCCGGCTCCGTTCCGCAAGGAGACGACGAAACGTTTGCCCTCGTCTGGAAAGATAACGCGGAGCCCGGGCACCGCGGGGCATATAGCATCAACGACTCAACAAACACCGCCACGGGGCAATTCGTCTGTTTCGTGTCCGAGTCGCCCGAAATCACACAAGTTGCGAATGGCGCTCACTTTCTATTGCCGACGATCAAGCCCAAGGTTGAGGTTTCGAGGATACTGCAGTGGATCGAGACATGTACTACAACGCATCCCATCACCAGATGCAGAGCCTACAACTATCAAGGCTTCAGGTCAACTTTCCCTAGACTTCAAGTTCTCCGACTTATTGATCTCGAGAGTGACAGCTTGATTGAGGTGTCAGATATCCGTCCATACAAGTATGTTGCGCTCAGCTACGTTTGGGGCGGAGTTTCCAGCTTCAGGCTCACCAAATCAACTCTGGGACGACTGCGGCAACCCGACTCGGTCTCCCAAATACGCGGCAGACTGTCGCTTACGATACTGGACACCATGAAGCTAGTGAAGCTCCTCGGGCTTCGCTATTTATGGGTCGACCTTCTCTGTCTCGTACAGGACGATCCAGAGGACCTAAAAAGGGGCACAGCTGTAATGGACAACGTCTTTGAACGGTCGTGGCTCACAGTCATTGCGGCCTGTGGAAACCATGCGAATTCCGGTCTGCCAGCAGTGACGGGGACCCGGGCCCCGCAACACGCCATGCGAATCACAGACAAGACGCGCTTGGGGCTGTATACACCACTCGACTGGGCGCTTGCGGCAACGGTCTACCAGACTAGAGGGTGGACGTAAGTCATACCCGCGCTGGCTTTCGTATCAAATGCTGATGCAAAGAGACAGATTTCAGGAACAAGCTCTATGCCAACGAGCGCTCTGCTTCGTCGACAATAAAGTCTTCTATCGCTGTGGGAGCGACGAGTTTAGCGAGACATGCTTAGACCAGCCAGTCGCCAAGAAGAGACACGAGTGGGAAGAGCCATGGTCTCCGCCTCAAGCGTTCCGGCTAAAGAATCCAGTGCGCGACTGGGAAGACATCGTCAGCCGCTACTCTGCCCGCGCTCTCACGGACCAAAGAGATGTCCTGCGCGCCGTCGAGGGGATCATGCGCCGTGCAACAGAGAAGTGGAACATTCGGTTCATCGAAGGTACTCCAGTCCAGGCCATCGACTTCTTTCTACTTTTCGGTGCCGGGCTCAACTCGATGACTGCAAGAAGGCGCCGGGAAGGATTTCCCAGCTGGTCGTGGTCGGGTTGGGTGGGGGCTAGTCGCGTTCGTCCGAGCCAAGGACATGTCTTCTACCAATTTCATCACTGGCTCAAGCAGAAGTGCTGGATACTGTGGTATGAGAGAGGGGTCGATGGGGAGTTGAGACTCCTCACCGATCCTGTGCGCAACTCACCAAGCGGACCTCGCTATCGGGAGCGCTTCAAAAGCCAGCTTCCTGTTGGTTCAGATGCCTTTCGCATTGCACCGTCCTTATCGCCAGCTGTAACACCTGGATACCATATGTTGCAATTTTGGACGCTGGCCATCTTTTTGGAATTCTCAAGAAGTATTTCTTGGTCTGAGGGTGATCTTCGAGGAGCAGATGGTCAGATATGTGGGGAATTGGTGGTAGATAGCATCGAGGAGATGCCTAGCTTCGAGCACGCAGGGCCATATGAGATACTCCTTCTTTCAGAAGCTGTGTCGACTCCTCATCCTCAAACCCGACAGTCTGAGTACGATTACAACGTCATACTAGTTAAGCGTGACGGGGATTACGCGGAAAGGCGCGGAATCGGGCACATTCGAGAATGGGCCATTGGCACAAGTTTAGCGCCAGGGCCAGTTTGGAAAGAAATTATGTTGAAGTGAAGCTCAACTGCAGAGTTCAATGAAACACCTTTCTGATATGCAATGTTCTATGGGTATACGTTGGCTCGCCTGCATGCTACAACATCCCAATACGCGGCTTCATGGGATTTGCCTTCATCTTCTGCGTATCCGTAAGATTCCAAACCTTCACTGTTCCCACTCAATGCTCATAAGGTTGGAGGTCGTCTGCAGAATGCCTTACTTAGGGCAGCAGTGACACTGATTCAGGATGTTAGGTGACGGTCAGAATGAGAAGCGCATTGTTAAACCTACACGCACGGCACCTTGATTGACACCTGTGATGGTTTGGAGACAGCCACCGTCAACTCTCTCAGTTGTAGCACAGATCTGTTTTCCACTCAAGAGGTTGTTACAGGCAGATAGAGGGGACTAGATGGCACTTGTTAGTCGTTGGTTGAGCAAGATTTAACACTTTACTCACGCATGGGAAGATCCGATCTTGACAATTGTCGGCAGACACGAGTGGTGCCGCCAAAAGCAGCACAAGAGGAGCTATGCGTGCTAGCTGCATTTTTGTAGCGATTGAGCAATGATAGCTGTAAAGCCGAGACCTGTGAATAAAGAAGGAAGACAACGGACGGAAATTTTCGGATGAGGGCACAGAAAACTTAGGAAAACTGAAACAGCTGAGCAGATGCTTCTTATTGTTCTGGTTATACAATTCTGTCTGTGACTGTTATGGACTCCTAGGATTGTTCACTGACTCGAAGGCGCGGACTGCTAATGGCGCCCGTAAAACGATAGTCTGTGCGATGTGGGCAATTCTTCATTAAAGCGGAAAGTCTAAACTTCCCATATTGCCAAAATAGACACGAAAAGGCAAGTCAACCACAAGGGATGACTCTAATGGTTGACTTCTATACTTATACGGTCTCCATGAAATGGGGGTAAACCCTGGTCATGAGCCTGGATTTCTAGATTTCAGCCAGGAGCCAAGGAGTTCTTAGCCTGAAGCTTATCACACGAGCTTTGCTACATTATTTGGCATAATGCCAATATGCAGCAAATAGTCATAGTTTGTATATAGTTGTTAGTAGCAAGCCGCGTGGCCGCCATGGGTCAAAGAAACAGTGACTGCCTAAGTGACCCATTACACATCGGCAACGTGGTGAGATGCGATCATCACGAGCCACGAGTGTGGCATCCTGCCGACCATGCACGGCATGTCTACATGCCAAAGGCTTGGTGAATTGACCTAGCGACTGCTAACAAAAGGCAAGGTATCACACATGCAAAGGCATACATCATTTTCAGAGGAACATATGAGATTTGTATTCAAGGGCCAAGTGGCCGTAACCTCTTTGAAGAGGAAAGAAGTAGGTATCGTAGACATAGAAGAGCCGTTTCATCGTACTTCTCAGTCTCCTTGAGACGAGAGGACTTTCATTTCCGTTTTCATCATTTTTTTGTTCATTTCGTTTCGTTGATTGTTTCATGTCGTAAATCTCGTTGAAGTGAGTGAGACCGCGTCGATTGCGGCCGGGCTCGGGGAATTGCTCAGCGTAAACTTGCTTGTTACGCTCAGCACACCCCGACGTGATATATAGTGGGGTGTGTCGGATGTTTCTCTTCTTTGTGGAAATTCCAACACGGTAATGATTCTGTAATCTTCGCGTGTCGGCGGTTTGGTGGTCTGCGCAAACCGCCGCCGTGGTTACATGTAGCTGGCCCAAGTCTGGACGGTCCGCAGGTGCAGACTGGCGAGACTGACGGGGAGCTCGAGCGGAGCGTTCTTGTTCTTGGCGGCGGGGCCGTTGAGGCAGGAGGCCGGAATCTTGACGGTGAAGTCTTCGAAGCTGGATTCGGCGCCCGTGCCGGCAAGGCCGGTCGCCTCAAGCTTCTCAAACTCCTCCCTCAGGCTCTCGACGTACGAGCTCTCTCTCTGGGCTGAAAAGGGCGTTAGCATGGTAAAACCAGGGCGCTGCAAGGAGGAGGGAAAACGCACTCTCAGAGACGTCGGTCCTGTTGTCAAAGTCGACGGACCAGGTGTTGTCCGGTGCCGAGACAATCTCGGCGGGGCACCCGGCGGCGGCGGCACCCTGCTTCTCGGCCGAGAGACCGAGGAGCATGGCCAGCAGCACCGACAGGAGCCCCATCAGCCTTTGCCACGAGGGCGAGGCCTGGGCCATGTTGGATGTCGTTGGGTGGGTTTCTCGAGGTTGATCCTCGGAAGAGGGTGTCTTCAAAAGAGAAGAATCAACAAGAGATGCGGGCACCTACACGTCTTTAATAGGCGGTCGGTTGGTTCACTCGTCGGCGACCCGGGCAACGGACGCAAACGCCTGGGGTGCGCAATGAGCGGTGGGCATCGTGGGACCGGTCAGCCACTCGTTTTCTGACTCTCTGTCGTGCGCCCTGCGGAATTCTCTGCGTGCTGCACACTTCTCTGTCGGAGTCGTTCGTTGAAGATGACCTGCATGTGGAATAGCGCATGTGTGCTGTCATGCAGCGGTGGGCTGGGCTTTTGGCGGTAAAGAGACTCGGTATTGGGCGCGTGCTTCGTCTGATGGTCGAATCGAGAAGACAGAGCTGCGCGTTCATGGGTTGGTTTGTTGAGGTTTCCACAGAGACGAGAGGACGGCGAACCGGATCGCTTCGAGGGCGCTGACGCCCCGGGGACCGGGTCGGGGTCGTGATTGGAGAGGAAGAGCGACGGACGGGGTTGGGGATGGGTTTGGACAGGGGCGAAGACCACACCGCAAGAACGCCAGGCGAACGAACTCCACAACGTTGACGGAATGCAAGCCCAGATTGGCGCGAGGCTCAGGGGTGTGCCGGGCCTGTTCGTGCCCAACCCTTTTGTTCGTCTGTGAGGAGACCGGTCGGTGGTTTTCGGCGGGAAATTGAAGCGGAAGACTCGTCCGGTGTCCGGAGGCGGTCCCGGCCGAGACGGTGGGTTTCGGTATCGGGCTTTGGAGCTTGGCAACGAAATCATCCTCAGGCATGATTCAGGTGGGCGAAAAGCTCGAAATTGTGAGCGGATATCAGAGCATCTGATAAGATGGCATCAACCAATCAAAACATGCGCCGAGATCTTGGTCCCTCTTCCAGCGGCATGGCATCCCTGCCAAGTACTTGGATCTTGCTTTGAGTTGTTTACAATCATTGTACTCGGATCTTGCTGTGTCAAGTCAAGACTCTCAAGGCAATGTTTCTTCGATTGTTGTTCAAGTGGTATGGAGGTTCAGAGCGACATGGCGCTCAGCCGTAGCAGTCGAACATGCGACATGCTGAACTCGCTGTTTGAAGTTGCGAAAGTCTGTGAAAACTCGAGTCACATGTGAGAAGATTTTGAGGAATCTTTAACGCTACCCAAAGAATCTGATTCTCCACCATAGATGAGCCAATGCGACTTGGGAACTCGGCATCCTCGGCCGCAACAACTTGATTCGCTCATCGGTTCAAGGCACTCGGCCAAGAATTCCTCTTCCTGCAGGTTATCGATCCACCAAGAGGATCCCCAGAGAAGATTGCGTATGCAGTGGCCTGTTTGTTCCAAGATCCTGTCACTATTTAGTAGCATCGAGTTCCCAGTAATCTTTGTGAGAAGCATCTTCGTGTTTTTCCGCTCAATTTCTCTTTACATCCCAACTGTCGAAACTCAAAGAAGTCGAAATGAAGTTCACAACTGTCATCGCAATTTTGGCCTCCACAGCCGCGGCCCTCGAGTGGCTACCCGTCGTACCTCTCCATGCGCGTCAGTTGACCAGCGGACCCAAGTACGAGTGCCACGCCGACTGCGGTATGTGACCGAAACTTTGACATGAAGACATGAATACTGACGGCATACAGGCTACGCAATCCTCGGCGCCGAGCAAGACAACTACTGCACTAACGAAACTTGGACTGGTCTTCTGGAGGGTTGCCTTGAGTGTGTCGAGAAGTATGATATCTGGCAGTACTACGGCGATGGTGTGACGGAGGCTGCCGAGGGCTGCAACCTGGACGCTACCCCAGTCTCGGCTTCGAACAGCTCAAGCAATGCGACAACAACCTCCGGCACGAGTGCAACTGGGTCCACGTCGTCGCCGACATCAAGCACCGTAGGTATCCTCTCCAAGTTGTAGGCAAAACCAGGGACTAAGTTTGTGACAGAGCGCCACCGCCACTGATGAGGCTAGCATTGCCAACTTGAACAAGCCTGCGACTCTCGTTTTCGCTGCTGCCGTCTTGGCTGCGGTTCAGTTTATGTAAAGCTTTGGTTATATGATGCGACGACATGGGATAATGAGGGATGATGATGTTAAGTTGGCAGCGTTATTGCAAACACCTTCGTAGTTCACATGTACATATTTCGAGTGATGGCGGACCAGGTTTGACAGTTCCTAAAGGGAAATGATAATTACAAAGTAATTTGAACAGGCGCTTCCAACTTTAGATGTATTCGTGCTTTGATTGACCAATTCTTGGGTCCAGCTTAGTTAGACTCAATTTGAATAAGTAAGTATCCTTTGTGAATCCTCAGCAAGAAAGGATACCATGACATCGCCTAGGGGTCTGCCGGAGAACGATATGTCCGCCGCACGAACGTGTTCCTCAATCACTATTAGATTCTGGGTTGTATTCGTTCTAGGTAGATTATCCCAGAATGGCTGGATGCCGGCGGGTAAACAAACGTAATGTTTCCAAAACCTCAACCTTTCCCGTTTTTACGAGATATCGCTCACCCGCTGAGATTTGAGTAACTCGTTTCCTCTAGCCACGTCCAATGTCATCAAAGATTCAAGCACATTGGTCACAACCTAGAAGCCCGAGGAGTTTAGAAAAAGACGAGTGCTCTTATTGATAAGTCTACAAAAAGGCAAACGCCCATGCAATGTACCAGCCAGCTACTCCAAGCGGCTTTGCTATTTTGTACAAGAGAAAGCTCCGCTAGGAGTAGTAAGAAAAGAAAAAAGAAACATCTTCCATCACATTCAAGCACGCTCCTGATGAAGCTCCGATTGTCAGACCAAGTGGTATGTCAAATCCCCCAAGATTGTCGCACTTTGTGTCGTGTCGCTTAAGCAGAGCCAGTGGGCTCGGCGCCACCGAAGCCGGGGAAGCCACCACCGAAGCCGCCGGAGGGCTGGGCAGCACCGGGGACCTGGGTAGGGCGGCCGGAGGGGAAGCCGGAGGGAATGCCGGTGCCGTGGTTCTTGCCCTTGCCGCGGCCCTTGCCCTTGCCCTTGCCGGTGGGGCGGGCGCCAGCAGCACCAGTGCCGGTGGGGGCACCGGTCTCAGCGGCGGCAGCGCCGAAGCCAGCAGCCTCATCGGAGCGGGTGTTGATGCGGGTCTCGAAGCCGGAGGGGGCACCGTGGTGGCCGCCGAAGCCGGGGAAGCCACCACCGAAGCCGCCGGAGGGCTGAGCAGCGCCGGGAACCTGGGTAGGGCGGGCACCGCCGAAGCCGGAGGGGAAACCGCCACCGAAACCGGGGAAGCCACCGGAGGGCTTGGCGGCACCGGGGACCTGAGTAGGGAAGCCGGTAGGGAAGCCGGTGGGGAAACCGGTAGGGAAGTCGGTAGGGAAGCCGGTGGGGAGCTCCTCGTTGTCCTGGGCGAAAGCGCCAGCCGAGAAGGCGGCGAGAATGGTAGCAGCGATAACGTTGGCCTTCATTTTGAAAAGTGTTGATTGGGTTTTGACTGAGGAGTCGGTGGGTTGGTTTTTCGAGTTGGGTGGGTTGGAAAGGAATGTGTCGAAGAACGAATGAAAGCTTGGTATCAAGAACGGAACAGAAGACTAGCTTCGATGCTGTGAATGAAAGTGATGGAGATGGGATGGGATGGAGAGGAGAAGGGATAGCTCTTGGAAGGAGAAAGACTCAATCTTTATATCGAAATGGCCTTACCACGGACGGCCACTCTTGTTTGGGTCATGGACCGCCCAGATGGCGTCAACTGATTCAGCAACGCTGCAACATGGCAAACATGGTGAACCGTTGCGCCATTGGAGGAGAGAGATGCACCTGCAAGGGGCCGACCCAGAAGTGCGGGATGTGGGCGTTTAGCACCCAAGAGACAGGGCAGGACCCAGGCAAGTTGCCACTATTCGGTAGTTGAGTGCCTGTGTCTGCGGCTCAAGTGAAGCTTGGATAGGTCGATGGCCCGACTTTGCCGCATTCGATCAAGTCAGAACAGTGGTGAGGAGCATGGGTGTCAAATTGTTGTCAATTTCCAACGAGTGTCCATCAGGGGTTAAGGGGGGGCGTCTGTACCCGCGGGCGGGATGATGGATGCTGCGTGGGTGTGGATGGTGCGGATGGTGGAGCTGTGATCACGGAGGATTCAGAGGGACGAGACCACAGACTGAGCAGTTCTAGACCCGGTCAAGGAACCATGGATCTTCTCCAGGATTGAACTTTGACTGAGGTGAAGCCGTTTGTGTGTGTGGGTGGCTACCACTGGCTGGACGGTGCTCTGTCGATCCAAGTGATGGGATAGAAACGGGGATCGCTGGGTGCGTTTCGAGCGAAAAACGGGTCTCGATGCTCCACCTATCCCTTATTTTCCGACCATGGACAGTTTGCTGTAAATGAGGTACGTCGTCGTCGCTGTTTCACCTTGACATGTTAGGGCGAGGGAAGCTTGGCTATCATTCCCAGTTCGGGGGTTTCTTCTTGTTTTTTTCGGGGTTGGGGTGCTGCTTAGTCCCATGTCCAATGGGGATGGACCATGTCTTACTTACGCGTCCATCGGATGGCAGACGTCGCGCTTAAATGAGGCCAGGGGACATGCCTGCATCCCACCGCCTAACATCAATCAGTTGGCTAGCCTTAACAAACACCACGGCGCCAAAGCTGAAGGGTTGCACCCGTCTGTCGCCTGGTGCAAGACCGGAATTTCAGGAAGTCATATCCGCGATGTTGACGAATGGCTTCCCTCGGCTCGTCCAGTCCTTGGTCCTGCAACATCGATCGGTGAGACATCTCCGAGATTTGCTTCTTCTTTTTTGCGTTGCGTGTTCAGGGACATCGGACGCAATAACCATAACCTCCTCGTCCGCTTTGCCGGAAGTCCGGCTTCGGGCCATGGACAGCGCTTAAAGCCAAATTGAGTCCACGTCATTCTTCAATTTTCCACTTATCAGTCTCAGGAGTCACAGAATCTTCCAGATTGGACTGTGTGATGAGCCTGAATTTTCTGCCTGTGATGATATACCTCCACGCGTCTTAGCAGGGCCGGGTTCTGCACAATATTCTACTTGAAATTCACGATAATATGGGACCGATGGGGATATCTTGGTCGTGCATGCGGAGCATGAAGCTCCAGACATACAAACACCCATTTTTAGGGCAGGCACTTTGAGTTTACTGCTAACTATCCACATTACATATATCTGGCGAACCCGAGCCCAGTGCCGTGCGGTCTGGCCAGCGGTGGATGTCGCCATTGTCGACCACGCCAGCGTGACTATCAGACATCAAGTCCTTGGATCGCCCCTGAGCATCCCTTTGTCAGCGGCGACGGGGACTACCGCTCCAAACAACTCGTCTGTGCTTGTTTGACACAGAGCGGTCGATGATGCCAGGGGTGGGGATGGCATCGCTATTTAGGAAACGTCAGCGAGGGGGCCCCGGTCCAAGACACCAGTTGCGGCCTGACAACTGGACCCGGATTATTAAATTTGCTTCTTTCGTCTGCCTCAGACTTTCGCTTTCGCCATGGTGGTTTCTGTGATACAGCACCCAAGAGTCCAAGACAACTATCTGCAGTCCTGCAAGGCCCGTTCAGGACAGCCGAGGCGTGTTGCCTCTCGCAATGCCGAACACCACGAGCACTTCGCAGAACTCGCAGACCTGCCCGCAAGGAGAAATCAGAACGGGCCACTCAGCACATCCAGAATTCGCTTGGCGATCCACGAGTGCGTGTGCGTTGTCGGGCTGCTCTACGTCAGACAATCATCCCGAAAACATTGCGTTGGCAGAAAGAGGGAATAAGGAAGTAAAACTCACTGATATTCGTCCCAGTAGACCTGCTTCTCGGCGTCCCCGCAGATCGTCACGTTCGGCGTCTCGCCATACGCGCCAACTAGACAGCTTCCATATTTCCCCAGATCCGCGAAGCCGTATGCCCCGGGAGTGGCATAGTACTCGAAGTCGTCGAAGAGAGGTCGCAGGTCAACGTTTACCGCCCCTGTCTTCGAGCCGCCCAACAAATCCCCCAGAAGATCCGTGTAGGTCTGCAGCTGCTGTTTGGCTATGTTGTCTATGAAGAATCCATACGGTAACCTCGCGAGGTCTGGCGGGGTGATCGTCAGGACCGCGGCTGTGGGATGTGCGTCCCGGAGCTCTGCTTCCGCCTGTGCCAGGACTTGGTATGACTGAGAAGCACTGATATTGGCATTGAACAGAATGTCGTTGGCGCCCGCGAACAGCACGAAAAGCGGCGTCGTAACCGCAGTCGAATCAGAGGCCGAAAAGTTGTCGCCCTGAGGAGTCTTCTGTCCCAGGAATGTGACGATTTGATCGACGACCGATGGTACCGCAATCGAGCTTTTCGGCCCGGTGTATCCCTGGATGAGAGAATTGGAAGTCGTCGCTCCGCCTATGGCATAGTCGTAGAGCGGGATGGATAGATTGCCTGCCACGTACTCGGCCCAGACGATGCCGTTCGAGAAGCGTCCTTTGTAGCTTCACCTATGGTCAGTCCGGTCTCTAATGATTCTTTCGATCCGTGAGATGCTAACTAGTTGTCTGATGGCCAGGTTCCATTCGACACCCTCGCGGCGCCGTTACCTGATCTCATGGTCAATCATCGTTGCATGGGCTTCATGCGACGATCCACTTACCATTATCGCTGAACGAATCCCCGAATACGACGATACTAGAAAATGAGGGCGCGCTGGCCCGTCGTTGCAGGGGAATTGCGGAGGCGGCTGCGGCCAGGAAGCCAAACAACAGGACCCGAGCGGTTTTCATTGCGATACCTCACGATGTAACAGTGACTTGCAGTTGTTGCGACGCAGGTAATCAAACAGTGCTGCATCTGCTGGATCTCTCTGATAACCCAGGTTCCCTGGAGTTGAAGTTCGTGGCATTGCACTCGATGCAGATGCCTCGGATCCCATCCTCCAGAACAAAATCAGACATGACATCACAGTTCGTCCTGAATTGCTGATTTCAAAGCTGTTCGCGTGGCTTCCACGCCAAAGGCCATGAGGTGAGCTTGCGCCTCTAGCATTCCATCGCCGCGGAAGTCCGGATCCTGATGGCTTCAATTGAGACATGTCATTGGCCTCACCAGCATGAGACATCGAATCCGTCAGCCCTAAGTGAACTCCATTGGTAAATGCCGGCTGACGGGCGGGCCTAGCTGCAGATTAGGCAGGCACGAACAAGACATTGTGATGCTGCTTAAAGATTTTGCCGCATAATGAACAGAAAGCACCGCAATGTAACTATTATCATAAAGGGCCGAAGGACACGCATGTCTCCATTTATCTCCGTTGGGGGCCAATATGGAAGAAAATTTCCGTCTCCCCCGGACTTGCGGGTGGAATGCGAGGTTCCATTTGCAGACTGCAACTGCATGCATGCAGCAATGCCGTGTTTCCGTTCCCATCAACCAGATTTCAACAGAATCAGCGCTGCTCACACCGCCGAAAAGTCGAAACACTCATTTCGATAATTGACCCCATCTGGTCCCGGAAATATTCCTATTTAGCCTGTGCCGGCGGGTTGGTGTATGCAAACCCTGCCAAGCCCACTGTGGACTCAATATTTGGTGGTTCTGGACTCTGCAATATCGAACCCGGGTGTTCGGCTCTGTATGGACGTGTACTTTCTGCGAGTTTTTCGGTGTCGGAAACAATAGAACATCCCCAAATACCCAGTTGTAGCATGAAAGGCATTCGGGAGTCAAGTGCCTCCTGCACAACCATCATTGTCTGTACAAAGTGTCGTCTCAACGTCGTTCAGGATACAAAGCCATTTTAATCGGCAGATACAGTCAGAAAGAAAGTATTTCAGCCGTCGATACGCTTCAATGATCGCACAGAAAACAATTCTTTGCGACTAGGGGGGAATCCGACACTGTCCCTTGGCCGTAGCCAGCCTTGGTTCATGTGTCGCTCTCATCTGGAATGTCTCATTTTCAGCCTGCTAGAGCGTGGCATCAAGTCGATGCAAAGTCTTTCACTTGAATTCAAGAGGGCAGAGTTTGGTGGCTACCTTTGTCATTAACACGCCGTAAAGAAATATAACATCAATCGAGCTTGCTGGGCTTTGGGGATTATGTACGATAGACGATCGCTCTGTGCGATAAGCATGCTGCAGACACAGCGTATTCTTAAAAGCGGACGACAGCGCAAACATTCCACAAAGCCTTCTGAAGATCTCGGCGTTATGGTATTCCATCCGGCTGGTCTACTAAGCCACGACACCTCAATGCAATTCTGTAGGCAGAGTTGAGTGCGCGGACTGACTCCTGAGGTGCATCAAACGAAGACAGGGAAGTGTCAGAGAAGGACAAGCAACGGCACTACTCTCAAATGTTTACTGGAGTGTTCAAAACAGCCCTTTATCTCGTCCAGGGCACGCATAACGAAGGATACCCTGTATCTCGTGTTACGTTGTGTTTACTGGACCGCGAAGGTTTGCAGTCTCTTTCCCTGAACCCTGAAAGGTCTGGACCATTTTGATTGAGTTTCTGTTTCTCGATGACAGCCGCCTCATTATTGTATTCATGCACATTGGGAGGCACCGTTAACAAGGCTCAAAAGCCGCAACCACTGCTTCGGGACCATCCCACGCGAAATGCAGACTGAATTCTTGGGGCATTCTGCTCGGGACACGGCGCTCTGACACTTCTGTTCCTATCAGAGAGAAAAGAAGAGCGAAAGGACATCGGTCAAGTTTACCACATGGGGACTCGATCATTGAGATGAAAAAGGGAAGCTTTCGTCGAGCCATATTTTGGCACAAGATGCGATGTCCGAGATCAATGCATCTATGATGTTTGTGGATCTCCCCGAGCCGCGAGCGGGGGATAATGATCGGGGCCGCACCTGTGCATCAACGTGCGGGATGCTCGGGAGTCACAGCGGCTGCACCTGATGTAGCGTTTTTCCTGCATGCGCTTTTGCACAGACTCCTGTCAGGTTCAAGCGGGCAATTTAACCCAACTTCGAGATCTCGCTACTTAGTCTACATCATGCCCCGAGCATCGTGTTTCCAAGAGGGGGTGGCCTCGGGATTCCTCTCGAGGGACCTGTCCGTCTATCACTATCCAATACCATCAACATCCACGGCAACGCAGCGTTTTCGAGATGACATGTTTATGTTGTTCAAAACCAACCATCCGCCGCCCGCGCTTGCAGTCTGTTCACAGTGATTCGTGCCTGCATTTCCAGCCGCCGCTTCCACGGAAGCTGGACGGTTGGGACGACTTAAGTTCGGTGAGAGGTCCAGCGCCATGGACCTGCTTCACGACACCCCGTTCGGTATCCTGCTGAATTTTCTGGCCCGCGGGAAGATCAAGCAGCTTCAGTATTATGAAGAAAAGAACCCAGAGATATGGAGGAGGTACATCGAGCCCGAGGCCAGCGACAGGAGTATAGCGAACTCGTCGCAAGAAGGCGTACCCGAGCAAGCAGAAGGAGCTAGTCAGGTCCAGAGCGAGGTGACCGACGTGAGGGTTGATTCCGAGAAGGGGACGGATATGCGCCTCGTCGAGTTTCTCCCTGGAGATCCAGAGGTTCGTTGGGATAGACTACGAGAGAGGATGAGGGCTAACGATTTGCAGAACCCACTAAACTGGTCGCTCTCAAAAAAGACCTTCGCCACCTTTCAGATATGCCTTCTAACGATAGCCATTTACATCGGCTCCGCCATCTACGCAGCTGGTGTAGCGGACGTCTCGCGAGTTTTTGGGGTCAGTCCAGTTGCTGGAATCTTGGGCCTCACGCTCTTTGTCGCCGGGTACGGGCTGGGACCGGTATGAATCCCTCAAATGTCACATCACGACCGCGTCTTGCTGACCTCTGCGTCAGATGTTTTGGAGTCCCATCTCGGAAGCTCCCCAGATTGGCCGCAATCCTGTCTATATCGGTAGTATCGCCCTCTTCGTACTTCTACAGATTCCGACGGTTCTGTCAGTGAACTTTGGCATGCTACTAGCGTTCCGCTTCATCACTGGCTTCGTCGGATCGCCTGTCCTTGCTGTTGGAGGTGCTTCACTGGCCGAGATTTGGAGGCCGCAGAAACGCGCTTACGCGATCTGCATTTGGGGTATAAAACATCCTCCATTGCCAGTCAATCCAAGATGGCTAACCGTGTCAACACAGGCATTGCTGCTGTCTGCGGTCCTACCATGGGACCTGTGATTAGCGGCTTCGCAGTCGACGCCAATGGCTGGACCTGGACCATCTTGGAGCTTATCTGGATCGGAGGCTTCACCTTCATTCTACTCTTCGTCTTTCTCCCAGAGACGAGCTCCAGCAACATCCTCTTCCGCCGTACACGACGTATCAGAAAACTGACTGGTAATGATAAACTCATCACCAGGGGAGAGCTGATGGCAGAAACTATGACGAGGCGGGACGTCGTCCAAATGCTGCTGGTCCGCCCATTCACTCTCAACTTCACGGAGCCGATGGTTTTCCTCCTGAATCTCTACACAGCTCTCATCTATGGGCTGCTGTATATCTGGTTCGAGTCATTTGCTGTCGTCTTTCGAGGTATCTACGGTTTCAATACCGGGTTGATCGGTCTCTCATTCCTGGGAATCTTTGTCGGTGCCGTCATTATCGTGCCTCCTTTTTTCTGGTACCTGCACAAGTACCTCGAGCCGGAGTTCGACGAGAACGGATTCATCCAACCGGAAAAACGACTCCCCCCAGCCTTTCTAGGCGGCGTAGCAATTCCAATCTGTCTGTTTTGGTTTGGGTGGTCTTCAAGACAGAGCATCAACTGGATCATGCCCATCATCGGCTCTGCCTGGTTCAGTATCGGATCTTTCCTATTATTCAACCCGGTGTTGAACTATCTCACAGACGCGTACCCCGACTACGCTGCATCGGTGCTGGCTGGGAATGACCTGTTCCGGAGTGCGTTCGGTGCAGGTTTCCCGATGTTTGCGACGGCCATGTATACCAGGCTGGGTGTTGGCTGGGCAAGTTCGTTACTCGCATTTCTTGCCATTGTTTTTATTCCAATTCCAATTGTTCTCTGGAAGGTCGGTATCTCAGACAGGTGCTGAACTCTTGCACAGGCGCTAACTTGGTTCCAGATCGGCCCAACATTGCGGCATAAACACAGTAAACACGCGAGGAAAGATGATATGATTACCTGACTTACAGCTCCATGTTCAATTGAAAAGTGTTTTCTACGATGTACATACAGCATAACATATCCAAGTAGATAGATCGTTCGTGTGCATAGATATTTCTTGTGTGCAATCATCTTGGGTCATTTCTATTGATCGAACAAGGGCTTTTCTCTCGATGGTTTTCATCAACGCATGCTATTGATATGACACAGTGACAGTCCGTATCTTCATGGCCAGCGTGGTGGTCTCCAGATTCCCCAAGGTCTTGCCTCTTGATATTCGCGTCTTCTGACTGCGTTGAAGTGCTCACATCTCCTCTCAATGGCCTCTATAGCCTCATACACACCAAACGCCTGCTCGAGATAGGACTGATACTCCCACATCCGCACAGATTGGAACATTCTCGCCGTGTACCAGTACGCACAACGCGCCATGTTTCTGTTCAGGCTCATCATCGCACCGCAGCCCCTGAACCCGTCAGGACAGTCGCGGACCGCACTCCGACGAGAGTTGCAATAACTGCAGTACACAGCCCACGTCCCGCACACCCCCATCACGCCCTCTTCGCGATGCATATCGTACAGATGCAGCATCATCAGTCCGCAAACGCTAGCGTACAGAGAGTTGTGCATCTTGCTCGCCTGCGTCAGCGTGAACGGGAGGTGGTCGTAGGGTTCGTGCGGATATTGGTACTTGTCTCCCCACTCGTATCTGTGCGACTCGGTGACGCGGGGGAGTCCTTCGTATAGTCCGGCTTGGAGGAGAAAGTTATAGAAGTGCTCCATCTCGTGAGGCAGGAACTTGACGTTTCCGGGGAGCGTCTTGCAGGCGCGCTGGAGTTTGCGGAGCATCTTGAAGAGCTGCTGGAGGAGGACGTCGTTGAAGGCTTTGCAGGTACGTCGGAGAAGCCACTTCTTTCGTGTAGGAAGGTAAGCGAGTATTGCGTCGAGGAGCTCGTAGGACAAGTAGATCATCTTGACAGGTATGTGAAGATTGTGTTGAGGAAGGTTGCAAATGCCTGCGGCGCGCGTTAAAGTCATCCTGAGGTGACTAGCTTCGTCAAACGGCAGTCATAATACTGGAGCTTACGGATTTGGAAGCCGAGCTTGGCTGATCAGAAGTCTGTATTGACTGGCCTAAATATGAGAGATCAAATGGAGTTTATCAAGGCATCTCGTGTTTACCTGACCGTAGGCAGCTCAGTGTTTCGTGAGAAACACAGGCACAAAGAAACACTTCATGGCCTGAAACCATTTTTGCCGTAGAGAACCTCTCTGTGTCTTATCTGCCTACTCACTCCTCGTCAAAGGCGTCGTCCTCCTCGATCTGTAACAAGTGAGCCAACACCCAATCCTGATCGTTCGCATACGGATCCTTGTAATTCCCAGCGCGGCCGTTGACGGAGGTCGGGTAAATGTACGCAGACGACGCGCGCCCGTTCGCCTCAAACAAAGCAAGATTGTTCCGGATGATGCCACCAGCCGTCTTCAACGCCGCCGCCTGGCCTTCGGTGTCGTTCTTCAAGCCCTTGCCGTAGTGGTGCAGCGCGATGCCGTTCAGCGTGCTCCAGTAGTGCGGGAACGTGTCTCCCCACATCCGGTCCTTGCCGAACCAGTACCCGTCCCAGTGGCGGATCGCAACGTCGTGGAGGCGGTAGTCGGGCTGTTTGCCGGCGAAGAGGAGGAGCGTGTCGAGGTGTAGCTTGCCGGCTTCGAGCCACTTGTCGTCGTTGGTGTAGCGCCAGAGCTCGAGAAGCATCACGGCGGCGGGGGCGACGATGGATTGTTCGAAGTTGACCTCCAAAGATGGGTAGTCTAGCCCTCGTGTCGCGATGTTTTCTCCGTGGGCGAGGAACAGCTCCTTGGCGCGCTGTAGCCACTCTTCGTTTCCATGCTTCTCGAGCGCCCGCAGACTTTCGAGGACAGGGAGGCCGATGGCGTACAGCTCGCTGCCGCCTTCTGCGTAAAAGTTCTCTAGGGTGAGCATGAAGCGCTCCAGAGGCGTCTTCTCTGCCACGATTCCGGTCAAGTTGAGATCAAGCGCAGCAACAGTGATGTGAAACTGGAGAACCCAGGGCCAGTTGTACAGGCGCTTCTTGCTGCCGTCCATCCCAATCGGCCTATCACGCACGAAGCCATTCTCCTCCTGTAGCTTGATCGAGACGTAAGTGTAGTACTTCTCCAAGGACTCTCGCACCTCGACGTTCTCGGGGTTCTTCTTGAGCCAGCGCGCCATGAGGATGCCCATCCCCACGCGCTCGCGGCCCGGGTTGCGGTCGGTGGAGGTGTCCCACGTCGCGATGAGGTTCGCTTGATTGTCAAAGACGCGGTAGGCTCCCTCGGCTGGGGTGTCGGGCGTGAGGTCTTGCTGGTTCTCGATGATGAACTTGGTGCGGCTGTCGATGAGGTCGTCGTACTTCGGCACGGTGTTGAGGAATATTGTCGAGTTGTAGCCGTCGTCTGTCGTGACTACGAGGTTCGTCCGTCCTACACGTCCGGCAGTGAAGCTGTAGTTGCAGACTTGGTTGTCGCATTGGACTGCTTGGCCGCTGACTTTCGTGTTAGCATTGACGGAGGCACCGCTGAGGGAGATGGAGCCCGTCTCCCTGGTGATGGAGGTGTAGTTGTTCGTCTCGACCCTCACAAATTGCTCGGAGCGATTGGCGCTCTGCTCGAAGAAGTCATCCCAGCCGGTGTGCCAGAACCACGTCCACGCAATCGTGCTAGACTCGCCCGGCTGGAGCGTCGGAATAAAAGGATGAAGAAGGAAGACGCCACGCGTGTTGGACAGCGTGACTGGGTCGCGTCCCTCGATACTGTAGCCCACCAACGCGCCCTTCGTCAGGACGAGCCCCAGATTCCGATACTTCCCACCCATCTGGTTCAGCTTAACCCAGGAAGAAGCCCCCCCAAACGCCCAGACGTGCGCATGCGAGCGCGCCGCGACACAATCGCTTGTGTTCGTATAATGGTCGTTGAAGGGGGTGTAAATGGCCAAAGACGTTGTTCCTCGACTGTCCAGATCCAGCGCCGTGGCGCCTTTGTTTGTGAACGTGTACGACTCGGTGAAGGATTGATCTTTGTCGTCGACGCTCCGACTGACGGAGAGCTCCAATGACCCGGTGTTGTAGACTGCTTCGACGGTGTTGTCGCGCTTCGTGATCTGGGGGAAATTCCAGAAGTGGCGGTGGAGGGAATCTTGGCCCAGGTCGGCGTAGCCTAGGCCCCAGCGGCTGCCGGTCGGGAGCCAGGGCGCGTTGGAGCCGGTGCTCACCCAGTTCATGGCGTTCTTGAAGCGTGGGTCGGTGATTTTGTCGATGGCGCCGGTTTTGTCGTTGATGTTGACGCGGAAATCTTGGCTGGCTAGGTCGGCGGCCGCGGCGAGGCCGCTGAGGATGAGGATGGCAGCCTTCATCTTGCCAGTCGGCCGGAGATGCTTGATACGGTTCGTAGTGGCTAGAGACTCGCTTCATGTCTTCTTTGGATCTTGACGCTCGTGTATTTGTACGTGTTGTCGAGAAAACGCCCTCGCGTCGCATTCGACCGAGGCGCGTAGTAGCCATTGTTTACCCAGGTCTGGCGTGATGTCAGCGGGACCGAAAGAAGATAGACTCACAGATACGCGAAGCAGTCGGTCAATCACGCTCGAAGAGTATGAAAAAGAGAAGTTCGAAAAGGCAGTTGGCAAGGATCGGAGCTATCCGAGTCTGCGATCGGGGAAACCCAACGTATCGCGGTCCAGAGATCTGCTGAGGCACCCCTGTTCGAGACCAAGATGGCTGGCCCTCGACAGCACTTCGACATGGATAAATATGCACCCCGCATGCACTTCACTCACATCTGCTCACTTGGGACGATGATCGGTTGCGTCTGAAAGGTCTCAATTGCATCTTCGCTCTATCTCCCAGCGAATCCCTGCTTCAATTTCCGCGGGACCTAACCCGACTCCCGACGCTAATCTTTGGCATATATTCCTCCGTGACCGCTGATGAGAATGACGGTGAACCTGAGCAATATCGTCAGCGTCAATGACCTCAAATTCTGGAAGACAGTACTTACCGATTTCGTTCTACAAAGCAAACGCACGACCGGAGAACGAGACGCGCCGAGCGTCCGCAGAACAGAGGCATTGCTCGCGCACAAGGCCCGGCGTGTCATCGTAGTTATGGCGAATCGCGTTGCCCATGGTCGATGTGACAGGCAAGACATCTCATCCTCGAACGGGGGAGCTCAAGGAGCGTCGCGCTCCGCGGCGGCCTGGGCCTCAGCAGCAGTCCACTCCGGCCACATCTCCGCGTAATGCTGGAGCTTCAGGTGACGGCGACACTCGTCGTTCGCTGTAAAGCGTTGGTAGCAATAAATACAAGTTCGTACCTTGCCCTGGGCCCCAGGTCGACGGAGTTTGGGGCCCAGGCGCCGAGCCTTCTCAAAGGCGTCGGCCGAGCTCTTGTTCTTGTTGTGGAGGGCCAGACTGCCTATGGCCATCGCCTTGGTGGCCTCCCATTGCTTGTCGGCGAGTTCGTCTTGCAGGCGGGCTTGCTCCATGATGTCCAGCTTGCGATTCTCGTTGGCGCCGGAGGCGGCCTCCTCCATCTTCTCGAGGTGTGTCTTGATCATCTTATGTGCGTTCTCTATGGCCGCGCGGAGGATCTCGATCTGCTCTTGAGAGCTCCGGACAATCTTGTCACTCTCCCTGGCGGCAGCCAGAAACTTGTTGTCGGAATGATCATCGACGTCCATTGGGTCGCTGGCCTGGTGATCGGGACAGGTCAGACTGGGAGAGGTGAATGAACGAAGGAAAGTGGATATCTTACGGGCATGTTGGACATTATGGATTCCGCTGATCTAGTTGATGTTGTGTAGAGATGGATCCTTCTGGTGAGTGAAAATCCTTCGACGAATGCCAGGCGACGGTTGACTGAAGCAAAAGCTACAAGGACAAGAGAGAGGTGGGAGAATAAAGGTGAATGCAGACGACCGCACCGAGCCTTGAGGAGGGAGGGAGGCTGTCCGGTCAACGTCCAATGAGAAGGGGGGATCTCTTGAGCTTGCTGGGGAGAGCACCAGACCGACCGACCTCCTGACCGCCCACCCACGTTGCTTAGGGCTTGCCGACTGCCCACGCGACTTTGTTTACTTCTTCCCTCTCACCTTCGTGCTCAGCCAGGGAGAAAAAGGAGAAGGCTTTCTGTCGACCACAAACCCAGCAGAACTTAGAAAAGAATCACCACATTCTCTCCCAGCGCAGTGGCATACCACACACCGATTCAGGATGGATCCTTACGGCCCCCATTCCAGCATCGTCCTCAGAGATGGCGTCTTTCATCTCTCTGTCGACCAGGAGCCCTTCCTAATCTTGGGAGGCGAGCTGGCTGCTTCTTCCACCAGTTCCGCCGCTTACATCTCCCGTCTTTGGGAGAAGCTCCGTGACACCGGCGCCAACACGGTCTTCGCGCCCATCTCGTGGGGAGTCATTGAACCCGTCGAGGCATCCTACGATTTCTCAGCTCTCGATGCTCTCATCGCCCAGTCAAGCGCCAATGGACTGCGTGTAGTGATCCAATGGTTTGGATCGCTGAAGGGAGACCCGACGGACAGTAAGTTGTTACCCTTTCATCTCGTCCTCTCCGCCATTGTTCGAATGTTGGAAGTGGATTGCCCCTTTCGTCTGCTGTTCTCCATTGCCCACGCCTGGTAATTTCATCTCCCTGTGCTGTGTGTACTTCTTTGGATGAGGACCGCGCAATTCGCTCGAGCTCTCAAAGCACTGAGAAGCGCCTCTGACTTGGAGCACGATTAACATTACTGTTAGATTTGTCCGACCATGCCCCCTCTTGGATCAAGCTTGATACCAGCCGCTTCCCGCGCACCAAGATCCGCGACGAGGTGGTTGATGACGACGGCGAGATCATCGGTCAGAACACACGCACCATCGACGCTGTTTCCATCTTCAACCCGGAGCTCGCCCGCGTCGAGCAGCGAGCGGTCGTCGCTTTGGCGAACCACGTTCGAAAGATTGACCTCAAGAACACCATCATTATGGTTCAACTTGCCGGCTGTGTTGGCCTTACCAGGGACACCCGGGACTGCAGTCCCCGCGCAACCGCTGCCTTCGACGCAGACGTCCCCCGGGATATGGTCGCCCATTACCGAGCATTGGGCTCGGCAATGGCTGCAAATGAGAGAGTATCGTGGGACCAACTCGGTATGGATGTCGAGGCTGGAGAGGGTTTCTTCACTAGTTACCACTTCGCTCGCTACATCGACAGCCTGGCGATCGTTGTCAAGAAGGCTCTGAGTGTTCCTGTTTTTACCACCATGCCGGTCAAGCGCATCCTCCATGGCGCCCCCCAGACCACCGGAACCGTAGCCATTTGGAAGACGTTCGCCTCGCACATCGATTTCTGGGCCCCCAGCGCCAATGACGCTCCTTACCACGACGTTTGTCAGACTGCCGCAGATAACAAGCACCCCCTGCTGGTCGTTGACCATCCCCGAAGCCAGGGCCGAGCAGAAGATATGTGGACTGCTTTCGGCAGCTACGGCGCCATTGGTGTCGTTATCAAGGACCTGGAGAAGATCGCTTCCGCGCCGTCTCAAGTTCCGAAGTCCTTCAAGCTGATCCGCGACATCTCGCCCATCCTTCTCAACGCTCGGTCTGCCCACCGCAAGACCATCGGCTTCAACCTGAGCCCCGCCAACATCTCCGGCCTCGCCGCAAAGGCGTCCGTCACCACTGCCCTTTACAGCCTCCAGATCACCATCGAGCGTCTAGGAGATGGATATCACGGCGGCGGCTGTGGCTTGCTGATCGAGCAGCCCGGATCCAAGATCCTTCTCATCGGCTACGGCTTTCAGGCCAAGGCGAAGTCTGTCTCTCCTCGCGAGGTACTCACCCGAGTCCTCGAGTTCATTAAGCAAGAAGTTGAGGCCAATGGTGCCCTTCGCTCGCTTCGTCACTTCTGTGGTGAGGAGACGAACAGCGGCCGCGCTGCGCGTATGCCTCCCATCGAGCCGATGATCGCGCAGGTCCAGTTTTACACCCTCGTGGAGTGAATTTGGTGCCAGAAGACAACCAATGGCGTGTTGTTCAGCGGCGGAAAGCTTTGGGTCGCAGGGACAGTCAGGAGTCGTAATGTTGACGAAAGAGACACGCTTCATGAAGTTGACTTACCGGCGTAACAGCTTCAGATCGTCGTTGGGAGCTGTTGACTCATCAAAGAGACATGTCACATACAGGGTTCTTGGGTCACAAAAGCACGCTAGATCGTTCTCCCTTATAATCCTGTAGAGGTAAATTTCAGAAATCAGCCGCTATGATATTTTCCCCGGTGGTCCAAAACCTACTGAGTGCCAACTCGATAAACTTTGCTACTAACACAACCCAAAGCCATATGGAAGTTGCATATCAGGCTCCGGGACTATGTCGTCCAACATACGTGTGAAATATTCCAGTGCTCCTTCGTAGTCTTTATCCTCGCTTGTGAAGCTTTCATAACTGTCTGAGTCCCAAACGACACCAATCTCCTCCGCCGCTAGACGCTCTTCTGCACTTAGTCTTTTCTCTTTTTCCTGTCTCTCCAGATGCTCCAGCTCAGAGATCATACGAGGATACCAAATATCCCGAACGAACTGTACCAACCTGGAGTTCCCGCCGCACTTAGCTTCGAACTCGACACAGAGATTTTCGAAAAGCAGTAAACGGTGTTTCTCTTGCGCCCATCTTTCCGCAACTTCTTCTGTATCTGGGGTTCTGAGAAAAAGGTGGATGTTGCAACAGCTGTGTTGCAGAGATAAAGCGTCGAAAGTGATGCGCCTAAGGATCGCCTGATATATCCAAGTATACGAAGGACCTTGCCGTTCACTCTGCGTAACCAGCCTGAGTAGTGGCTTACACATCAGTAGCAAATCAGACTGCCAAGGTATGCCTACGCGCGAATGACTGTACTTGTATTCATCAAAGTATTTCATCAGAGGATTGCATCCTGACGGCGAACACGGACATGAGCAGCTGTCGACGGAAAATTGGGACAGGGCGATTTCCGAAAGGTTTTTGGGTAAAGTGAAGATTGTGCCATCGATGAATGTGGTGACTTTTCCAAGAAGCCTCATAAGATAATGAGCTCCCGTGTTCCTTAGATCAGAGCGTTGCTGCAAATATTTAGGCAGCAAAGTCGCAGGAATGAGCAGATTCAGATCTAATCCGCGATGTACTAGCCAGGAAATATAATCAATGTGAGTTTGGACAACCTGCTGGTGAAGTTCGCTCGAGTTTAAAATCGCTCGCAAAGCATGGTAGAGTCCGTCCATGGAATCAATCCCAATATCCTGGAAGCCGAGTCCCCAGGCAAGTTTGGCGGTGGGTTGGTCTGAAATGTAGGCGTATATTGTTCTTGGGGAATCCGAAGGCTCTGCGTCCTCATGTCCATTGAATACCTTCAGGTCCGAGGGAATATAGCTGTGTTGATCCTCCAAGAGCTTCTGGACTCGTGGAGCGTTCCGGTCTAGAACACAGTTTGCAGGTGAAATCAAGTCTCTTCTTTGTTCCTTTGGAAGCCGTTTTGTTGCTAAGTCTTGTAGTCTTGTCCTTCTTTCTTTGAGATGGCGAAGTAAAATTTCCCGCGCGGCGAACGATAGGTTCGGTCTTTGGTTACATTTGTTCGCATGTTCCAACCCGAATCCTATCTGAAGGGTGCGTTGGAAAAGCCCGCTACCGGCATTTAGCAAAGCTTCCAACATTATACATCCCTCGCAGTCTGACATTCGTTGGGCGTGACAAGGTTTGTGAAACTGTGTAAGTGTCAAATAGTCTATTGGATAATGCTTGCAAGAGTCCATCGTGTTGAGTAGCTTTTCGTTGCTGCAGGATAGAACAAGCTTGAGAATTGACGAATTTCCGGCTAAAACGGCAATATGAACTGGCGTCTGTCCGCAGTAGTTCGTCTCGAATATCGATAGCGGGCTCGTGTTCAGAAAATGGCTGACGGAAGTCAGATCTTCACGCATAATACCAATCATGAGTGGGCCGAAACGAAACACTAGCCTTGCGTCAGCAACATACTCACATGACTCGTTTTAACTCAATAAACGAATCATACTCTTTGCAAACTGTGGAAAGTTTTGAAACGATTTGAATATTTCCAGTGTCATTGGAAGAGGGCTGTAACCGTCTGAATACTCTTGTTCCGGTTCGAAGGACTTTGTCAACGTATCCATCAGCTTGTGCGCTGCGTCATGCTTCCAAGCCCACTTAGAATTGACAATGGTTGTGTAAATGGGCCTGACAGGTGTCAGTCAAGTTAAACACATTACTTTCGTTATGCGAACAATAATATCTCGGTGGTCAGGTTGGGGTGTGATAGATTCAAGGCTTACTCGTCACGTCCTTTTTCTGTTGGGTCGTTGACTGACAGTCCGAAAGCTAGTAGAGACCGTACAAACAATGCGATGGTCATGCCGCCTAGGTCCTGATACTAGATGAAAGCACGTCAACAAAACTAAAAGCTTTTTCTTTCATGAGAAATTGGTTTGCTTCGTACCCAGGTTTTCCCCACAATCCTGCCCAATATTGTGATGCCATTTTGATCAACATCTGTCGGAGAAGCGGCTTTCTGTGTATAGCACCAAAAAGTCCGCTTCCAGCACGATTCCAGGATAGTTTGGCGTTCTCTGGCAGTAAGTGCCCCAGATCTGATTGCCATGACTGCAGTGTCAGCAATTCTGAACGCCGGAGATAGCCTCGGGTCCACGGTGGCAGCCCATGAAACATCCTGTCCCCAGCTCAGGCCTCCGGTCTCTGTGCTTAGGAATAAGGAAACTCGAATCGCTTTGCGCAAAAGCATTTGCACACCAGGGATGTTGACTCTGAGACCTCTCCTTATCTTTTGTTCCAAAGGCTTCAGTTGAGAATAATGACACTCAGGCGCATGGTGCTTGATTTTTGAAATCTCGGTTTCGAAGACAAATGGGCCCAAACATCGTTCATGGCGCCGAATATTTCGGCGCCTCATGCAGGGGCAAGGATGATATTCCATACTCGCATCCCGTGTGTTTAAGACATTATGGGCATTCAAATGGCTTGATCTTGATGATAGGGTTATTCCATCACTCAGGAAACCATCACACAGGATTCGGAGGTCTGCGGGTCGCGCAATTAACTGACCGAATTGTCGTTGGGCTTTCTTGCGCACCGCTGAGCTCGCAACTAGTTGCTCTAGAAGCTCTTCGAATCTTCCCATACGGCTGTCTACTTGCTGCCGGATTATTTGGGTGTTTTCCTCAACTCTGATTGATATCTGAGTTGATTGCGCCAAAGCTTCGGTTTGTTGAACCATCGAGAGAGATGTCGCCGCCGCTTGCGCATGTATTTCCGGTATAAGATGACTGGACTCACGAATGTCTTCAACAGCATTCGATATCTCCGATAATTGCTTGCTACTCTTTTCCGTTGACAGTTTGATAGCTGTAGTGTCGGATTGTAAGTCGATCACGGCGCTCTGCATCGTGAGGGAAATGTTTCTGGGGCAAGTAAGGTATTTCAGCGTCATATCAAGGGCGAGGTCGGATGTGGCTCCCGTATTTGTGTTGAATGCTTACATTCCCAAGGCGTGCAACGCCGTCTGGAGGACATCATTCGTAGACGCCAGTCTTTTCTCGAGGTCGACAATACTGTCCTTATGAAAAGGATATATCAACTGCCTCCCCCTTTTCCTGGCCTTTGCAGAGAGTGTATCTGAGGGAGATTCCGAGCCTCGTAGACGCGTCAACAAGTCCTCCAATTGTTTCAGCTCATCTTTGACAGAGGCGATGCACTCGTCAACTGCGTCCTCCGATGACGCTCGGGCGGTATTTGTCGATGCTGTCGCCCCCTTCATGGCATTCAAGCACTTTCTCAGTATCTCTGCGTTCTGCCTTGCCGCTCTCAAATCTTCCTCTCTGCCTTTGACGGCCTTGATGTACTTGGAGATCTCGCCGTAAATTTGCAAGCCCAGGGACACCAGCCCGGCGGCGGTGCCGGCGATGCCCAATGGGTCAGCCATGGCAAGATCGGTTTCGTCGTCAGCTTGAATTCGATCAATTGCTGATGTAGGGAAATGGTGAAGAGGGGAAGTTGAAGGGAAAAGTTCACATACAGAATCAGGCTGGCGCGAAGGGCCTCAACCCCTCTGCGTGTATCCACGTGTCGGGTAGAGTCTGCGCCACAGTTGGGCAGATTGCGACGTAAACCGGAGCATCTGATCGGCGATATGCTGATGAGCTGGTATGCCTACCAATCAGTTGTTTCCTGCAAGATCACAGCCAATGGAGTTGGGTCGTTGGCCCCCAACTGCTGACGATGTGCATATGGTGGATATCAGCTCCTTTGGGACGCCTTGGACCCTGGGCCGCCAATCGCTAAAAAAGACTTCAATGTGGTTACTGCTAATGCCGTTGATAGATGTTTGTAGTCGCCGAAGATGGAAATCCCAATCGCAATTGTTCCAGGGTCTCCATCGCATTTTCTTTTGCAAAGAGACGTCATCCCGAATGGATCAATACAACAACACAACATGCAAAGGCGTGCCCTTTGTTTGGCCGAAAACCTGCGGACTTGTTTTCACGATCTGTTTACTATGTCAGGAAACACCCACCAAAGAACATCATGAGTGGCAACTGACCCAGAAGCAGAACAGATCGGGGATTGTGTCTCTTTGGGGCTCTCGGATCGACGCCTCAGCCTTATTTCGCATCAATCCGGCAGTCTTCCGAATGCGAAGGGGTAAAGTGCGGGAGCCGCTGTGCTCTTGGCACGTCTTCCCCGCGAAAACGCAATGTCGTACTAGGCGATTTGAGAAGACGGACGAACACCCGCCGAACAACACCATGCAACCGGATGACATTACTCCACCTCCAATGACACAATTCATCTTGGCCTAGAAGAGCATGAGCTATATCATGCTTTCAATCGTCTTGACAATTTTCCAAGAATCCATCATGGCGACGAGTCCTCTCAACCTCCAACCTCTGCCACTATGCACCTAACACCTCTCCTCCTCCTGGCCTCCAGCCTCCTCGCAACAGCCGCACATCTCCCACTCCGCCGCGCCGACACCTTCCAGAACCCAGTCCTCTACGAAGACTACCCCGACAACGATATCTCCGTCGGCCCAGATGGCGCCTTCTACTTCTCCGCCTCAAACTTCCACTACTCCCCGGGCGCCCCCATTCTCCGCTCCCTCGACCTCGTCAACTGGGAGCCCGTCGGCCACTCCATCCCCCGCCTCACCTTCGGCGACGGCTATGACCTTCCCCCCGGCGGTCCCCGCGCCTATCGCGGCGGCACCTGGGCGTCCACGCTGCGCTACCGTGAGAGCAATGGGTTGTGGTACTGGATCGGGTGCACCAACTTCTGGGTGACCTGGGTCTTCACCGCCTCGGATGTCAAGGGGCCGTGGAGTAATCGCGGGGTGTATGGATGGGATGGACTATGCATGTACGACAACGGCCTTCTCATTGACGACGATGACACGATGTACGTCGTCTACGGCAACGGACAGGTCAAGGTATCCCAACTCAGCGCAGACGCCTTAAGCGTCGTCAAAACCCAACAAGTCCTGCAAGCCTCAGATGTCAACACCGAAACCGTCGAGGGGAACAGGATGTACAAAATCAACGGGACGTACTACATCCTCAACGACCAGCCGGGCTCCACCACCTACATCTGGAAGTCAAGCAGCCCCTGGGGGCCCTACGAGTCCAAGATCCTCGTGCAAAACGTCGCCCCGCCGCTGGCGGGCGGCAACTCCCCGCACCAGGGCAGCCTCGTCAAGACCAAGGACGGGCAGTGGTACTACATGTCCTTCACGTGGGCGTACCCCGCCGGCCGCATGCCGGTGCTGGCGCCGATTACCTGGGGCGCGGACGGCTTTCCCGAGCTGGTGAAGGGGGCGAACGGCGGCTGGGGCGCGAAGTATCCGATGCCGCTGCCGGAAAAGGTGTTGTATAACTGGACGAGGACGTATGCCTTCGAGAGCGAGCTGGGTCCGACGTGGGAGTGGAATCACAACCCGGACGTTGCGTCGTATGAAGTTAACAACGGGGTGACTCTGAAGACGGCCAGTGTGACGGAGGATCTGTACTCTGCAAGGAACACACTCACGCACCGCATCCACGGTGAATTCCCCAAGGGCACCGTCGCAATCGACTTCAGCAACATGGCCGACGGCGACCGCTTCGGGCTGGCTGCGTTCCGCGATCAGAGCGCGTACATCGGCATCCACCGCGTCGGGGACACGTACACCCTGAAAGCGGTGCAAGGTCTGATCATCGACGAGTGGTCCGGCAATCCGGTCTCGAACGGCACGGAGGTGGCGTCTGCGCCGGTGCCGAGCGGCGCGAGAAAGGTCTGGTTCCGCGCGGAGCTGGATGCGCGGCCGACGGGAACGAGGGACGCGAACTTCTTTTTCAGCTTTGATGGGGTGAGCTTCACGAAGTTGGGGGAGACGTATGAGTTGTACAGCGGCTGGGCGTTCTTTATTGCGTACAGGTTTGGCATCTTCAACTTTGCGACAAAGGCGCTGGGAGGTTCGGTGAAGGTTGAGTCGTTTACTGCGGCTTGAGATTTGTCCTTGACGTGTACATGCAATCTCGTCTTGACTTGTTCATGTCTTACGTATCTAAACAAGAACCAGTGAGACGCAATGTATATATCTCTCTGTATGATCAACATCATGGTTCTCCAACCACCAGGCTCCCACGCTCCTTCATCCCCTCCAAAAACCTCACGATCCCATCAACCGCAAGCCTCGCAACCGTATCTCCCCCCTCCAACCTCGCATCAAACGAGCACACCACCAAACTCGTTGGCTCCGTCCGCTTCGGTATGACCTCCATACACTCCACCAAGTCCCTCTCATCCAGTCCCCCAGGCGACGGCCACTCATTCACCCGTCCCAGCGACTCATCCAACACATCCAGATCAAGATGCACATGCGTCCTCGCAAACGCCTTCCGCTCCAACATCCCGTCCAGTTCCCTCCCAAACGCAACCTTCTTCCGAGCATCGCCCCAGATGACATCAACACCCGCCACCGTCACTGCTTTTCTTTGGGATTCACTCACATCCCGCAACCCGCAGTACGCAACCCTATCCAAACTCACAGGAACATGTCCCGGCACAGAGGCCATCAGCGCAGCCCAGCTGCGCCCGCACATCATCGACGCGGCCATCGCGTCGAGGTACCCATTGACATTCGTATCCGGCGTATCCAAGTCATCATGCGCGTCGATCCATAGCACATTCAGATCCGGCACAGAAGAGTGCAACCCGGCTGCCACGGCGGCGCTGGCGTTGCAGTTCCCTGAGAGGACGAGCGGGAACGAGCGGCGCGAGGCAGCTGCGGCGACGGCAGTGGCGATGCGGCGCAGGACTTCGAAGGTGCGCCCGATCTCGCCCTCGAAGGCGTCCACGGGGCCGATGTTGGTGAAGGAGATGGGGGAGAGGGCCTCGAGCTTGCAGGCGAGGTTGTGGGAGAGGATGCGCAGGGGCCCGGAGCCGACGCGGTGGTCGTAGAGGCCGGTGTGGTAGGGGGCTACGATGATTGTGATGGAGGTGTAGGACATGGTGCCGGCTGGGTGAGGTGAATGGCCTTGGTGCTTGAGGACATGATGGAGTTGATGTTGATCTCAACCAGATTTAAGTCAATGGATTTGAGTCTATGGAGTCTCGATATCAGGATAATGGTGACCCGACGTTGCGGTGCGGCTCCACTCCATTAGCAACCAACTCTTTCCACGGAGTCTTGATTTCCGGGCAGTGAGCGTGGATGTATGCTGGTTCCACTCGAGCGGTATGACTCGAGGCGGAATATATTTTCCAACTACAAATCACCCTCCTCAACCTATGTGCGCCCAAGCGGATCTCTCCGTTTAGATGCTTGAGTTGTGGGTTCGAGCCGGCGTACGGCCGACCAATGGGATATTACAAATCGAACGACGAACGGAAACACTTGCCATCTTCGTAGATGCCTTCGCGTCTGTTTTGCTTCATTTGGACGAGTCTGCCTTACTCATCCTAGGCAAAGGAACGATATCACGGGGTTTGGCTTGATATCACGGGATTTGAGCATGTCTAAGAAGCAACTCTGCCCACCGACCTACCAAATGTTGCATACGATCTCAAGATGCCAGCGCGAGCATCACATGCCGTCAATCACCCCTCGCAGAATGAACTCGTCATAAACAAGCAAACGCCAGAGGACACCAAACACCTCCAAAGAAGAATGGCAACGATACCGATACCTCACAGACAGGGCAGAATTTCTGTCCCTGTCACTGCGGCCGTCAAGGCTGTCAGAAAAGTATAACACCGTTGAGGGAAACCAAGTCGTGGGTTACATATCAGACGCGGAGAGCAAGACGCCCACACCGCGCTCCACACATTGTGCTGTCTTCAAAGGGGGCATCTGAGATCAACCTCTTTAGAACATGTTACCAAAAATACCGCGATGGCCGGAAGCGTATCGGCAATTCGTCCGTCGGTGAAGGGAAAGTCAAAGCAGACGGCATACCACCGACGGACGGATTGGGCATTTCATAAACCCATGTTTCTGCATACTTACCCCGCGATATCGTCGCGCAGTATGCAGTATGCACATCAAAACCGGGGAACCATCTCGCCCGCGTGGACAGCTCCAGGTGCCGGATCCGGGGAGACGTAGCAGCCCGACATAGCTGCATTCTCGACCGTTTCTTCTTTAACAGGTAGCAAACACCCGAACCCATTTTGACACAAAACAAAGAAATTCTACCGTTCAGCCGATGTTCTCCAGGAACCGAGGCGGGCAAACGACGGGCGCGTGCGCATCCGAGAGCGCTGCAGGCTGCAGCTTTGAATTCAGCCAACGGGTTCTTTTTGCCCATGTGGGCTATTTACGGCAGGAAGTCAAACGGGGGTGCTGGCGAAACGCCCGCATGAAACTCTGTGTATGTGGTGACAGCTGGCATTTTCTTTAAACGCCTTTCTTGCAGCTCGTTGCATTTGGGGTTAATTGCGCATCAA